TCCTCCTCTGTAAACAGAATCGTTTTCACTTTTTTGGAGCGTACCGCTTCAAGTCGGCTCTGCAGTTACTTAATCTGGTTTTCTTTTGAGGGATGTTCAGCATTGGACAAGTACCACATTTCAAAGCCCTAAGTCCAAGGTTTAATTTAAGCATTCGATGGATAAAGTGCATCGACACTGTCAGCTGTGAGGCTATTTTCCGGTAGAATTTCTAGAATTTCTTCGGATTCTGAACTTCAGCGCCTTCACGATGGTTGTGGTCCTTGTAGGTTTTCAAAAAATTGTTCTGCGACTGTTCTTAGTCGACCTGGTCCCCACGAACGTTTTTATAGTCCGTTGGACTAAATTAAAGTGCACGTTCGATTCCTGTCACACTTTTCAAATTCGCCATTTCTCCTCTCATTTTTTTGGTGAAAAATTATCGCCGCCCGCGTGCCTTTAATATTTTCCCTGTCGATATGTTTTGTAATAATTAAAAAATTGATTAGTGGCTTTTATGCAAAATCGCACGACGAATCCAACGCACCTATCAGATTTTTATTATCTCCAACGGTTTTAAAGTTAAGAGCTACTTACAGGTAGCCTGGGCATGCTATGTATTACCTAATTTCTTGAAACCGAAAATATGCTAACTTTGCAAAATTCAACGTGAAAAAAGCAAAGATGCTTTGTGGCAACTCAAATGTTCCTTGATAGGGGGCAAATTTAGCTTAACCCAGGGACAAACTTAGGTAAATATGAACTTAACTGACTCTTAACTTACAATGCGATGACGCCAGCGGTCTCACTCCGATTTTAACAAAACCACGACAATTATGGAGCCTTTTTACAAATAATAGAAACCGTGTTTCAGGATTTTTCATAATGTTCAGTTTAAACGAAATTATAAGTTTTGTATTGTATTGCTTTATTTCACCACTCTTTCGGGCCAAGCGGCCGATAGAGTACGACAAGAAAATTTTGCATCATTTAACAGTAAAACCATTACATATCAAACTTCAATTTTTCAAAAACAACAGATATTACGAACTTCGATTCATGGAAATAACTAACCAATTTGACAGGTTTTAACATTCTGTTCAAGTTACATAGCAAGATGATTACCAGTACAGTTTACATGACAAGTTTCATACAATAAACGAAATTATATGGAATCGGAACGAAATTATATGGGTGAGAAAGAATTTCCATTTTGACCGTAACATTTTCTCGCTAGGGAGAAAAATACAGATTCTGGCTTACGAATTCCATCATAATTTCGCTTTAAAATGCGTGGGCATGAACTGGTTTCCTCGAATTTTGACGCGGCCAATTTTAAATTGCTCACACAAGGAAATAAGCTGACTTCATTTTCAGCCAAATTTGGATTTTTCAAAGTGATGAAAATTTTTAAATTTTGACCCTATTTAAAAAATGAAACAACATTTTTGCAAAGAATTATATTAAGTTTAAGAAAATTCTACATTTCAAAAACTTTGAGTTTGAGGATTTTCTGGTCTGGAGCATATTTTCAAAATCCCGAAATTGTATACAAATTTTGAACGTTAAAAGTTTTTGGAAACACAGTTTTTGTAAATTTATGGAAGTAATTTTGAGCACTACGTTCTTTCACTTTTAAAATAGCGTTAAACATTCAAGATGAACAACTTTGAAAAATCCTGAATGGGCTGAAAATGTATTGAAAAATTCTGTCACACCCGAAAACGCGAACATTCAGGAAAACGAAAATTACGGGTCGGGTTGTTTCAGTGTGTGAGTAATTTAAAGGTGGTCGGGTCAAAATCGGAGGAAACCGTTTTAGGTCTACGCATTTCAAGTTTAAACGAAATTATGATGGAATTCGTAAGCCAGAATCTGTATTTTTCTCCCTCGCGAGAAAATGTCACGGTCAAAATGGAAATTGTCTCTGACGGATTCCTTTATAATTTCGTTTAAACTGAGCATTGTGAAAAATCCTGAAACACGTTTTCTATTAAGTATTTGTCTAAGGTTCCATAATTATCGTGGTTTTGTTAAAATCGGAGTTAGACCGCTGGCGTCATCGAATTGTTAGTCTGACTGCTTCAGGCCCAAATGCTTACAATTATTTTTTTTATTCTTACCGCTTGGTACAATTTTAAAAGTATCTTCAGTTAAACCGTTGGGTTTTCACCATACTGGATGTTTTTGAATATGTCCTGAATTCAAGAAATAATACAATAAGTGGTCTAAGAACTAAAAGGAATTGAGTTTTGGGACCTGCATTTTCGCCAATTCGAAATGAGTCTGGCACTTTTTCAAATTTTTAAAATGGATAGAAAAGTAATTAATCGCAAAGGGTTTAGGAAGCTTTGGGAAGTAGCGAAAAGTATGTCATATTCGCATATTTATGAAACTTAGGTTCATATAATTCATTTTTCTCCGTCCCGCCGATGTTTTCAAAAATATGGCTGAGTTAAAAGCGCAAGTAAATGTCACCATTTTCCCATGGAACTGGGAAAATAATGTGCTCTTAATACTCGTAGAATATTATCTACTTCGTTCCAGAATGCTCTAATATTCTGGAGCGAAAACGATAACATAATATCGAAGATATTGAACTTATGAAAGGGCCCGGCACTTAAGCTCATACCAGGCCTGACAATTTCGCGGCACGGCTCTGATTTTGACAAAAAATCCGCGTCACATTCGTATTTTTAGGCGTCAATGCGTGCACTCCGTTTTGTACACAGGAGCCTTGTTTTCCAATATTTGTTTCGGTTGGTTAACGTTGACCGAGCGGTTTCAAGGATTCGTCTTTTTCTCGCTGTATTTCTTTTGCTGCATGCAAAGGTGGAATTGGAACCTGGATATTGCGGGGATTCAGGTGATCAACTCGTTCCTGGATTATGAGGATGAACTCTTGGCGGGTAAGCTGTTCGATAACACAAGTTCTTCAAGAAATATGTGTAGCAATTTTGAAATTATTAGATAACCCGCCGCCACCACTTTCTCTTGGCGCCAAAATGATGCGGATTTTTATACCCACCGCGGAAATCTCTCTACCTGTCATTGCTCTCCTACAATTTCTGCTACTGCGATATGCCCCTTGTACGCCTCCATTCATCATGTCGATGCAACCAAAGTGTACGGAAAGGGCGAGATTTAGTGTGGTACAGTTAGGAGTTCACGTATTCGAAGGGTGGATGTTTTTACATATGCTGCTGGCTGGAGGGTGCTGGGTTATCTACGCTCTCTTCACCGGAATAGTCTCGATACTGAGCTACTTCAGCATTCTGAACAGGTTCACATATTTAGTTTATTTATTAGCTAACCATTAAACGCAATGTAATGTATGTACATCTACATATTTTAGCATAAAAATCCGTATGAATCCCCCTATTTCAGCGAGAAATATGCCATGCATAGAGAATTTAAATAGTAAGGGTATTCGTTATTTCTTCATATCCTTAGTATCGTAATATATACGAAGATAAAACAAGGGGTAAGGTTTCGTAAAAATCGTAAGCGTAGTAAATATGTAACGTGATTTTCGATGAGTAAATCTTACGACGTTTACAAAATCTTGTAACCGCCGTAAATTATTTTACCATACGCAGACTTAGAATGAATACCCTCAGTATTTTCCAGTTTTTCGTTTCTTGCGCAGCATTTCTTGTACTGTAAAACGTGCAAGACATATCCGTTTACAGGCCCTATGAATTATAGCGGCGGAAACTAATTTCTTACGCCTTGCAATTTATGAAGGTCAAATTAGCAGCAAAAAACCACGTCGATGCAGACATTTCTTGGACCCGAAAAATTGGTATTTTCACTTATTTTCTAGGAAAATTGAAGCCATCGAAACCGAGGCGAACTTGAATACGAGTATCCAATTCTACCAGCGAATTCAGATCTTGGAAAAATCTTACAATTCCTTCCTCCGTGATCGCATCTTGCCATCGATGATCCTCTGCGTCCCGGGGATCCAGATAATCACGCAGTACGTCACGCTAAATCATCACTCGGACATCGCGATGCCCGGATTTCTGGTCTTTCCCCTCATCGCCGTCAACACCGGGATGACCAACGTACTCGCTTTCACCTTGGCAGCATTTGTCAACTCGGCGTCGGAAAAGGTGATGGAAACCCTGGGGAAAAAGGCGAGTCTATTGCCGGGGAAGAAATCATTAATCAAGCGACGAATTCGGGGCTGTTCCGTCCTCAAGGTAAAATTCGGATCGAACTTTATCGATCGCGGGACTCCGTTGGTAATGCAGACGTTCTGCATTAATCAGACGGTATCACTCACATTAATCAAACAGGGAAAATCGGTTCATTTAGGGGTGCTTGATAAATACGTATATGCAGATTGGTTGGAGAAGATTGTTAATTAGTTAATGGGGACCCCTGTTCTGCAAATGTTTAAAGGTCTAAAGGATATCTCGTTGATGCGTCACAGAATAACTTTATAGAATTGTAAAATAAATTCATATAACTGAGAAATTACAATAAATGTGCTGATTTTTTTTAACTGTGGCGTCACAGGCGATGAGTCACTGAATCCAACGTTAAACGCTACCATCATTCAAAATAGTTTAATGCAAATTTCATGGGGTTTACGCACAGATTATGAAATACAATTTCATGGGGTTTACGATAAGTGCAACTTTGATATGTTAATGTAGAGCTAATTTTAGGTGTTACAAAACCTTGAATTGCACAAATGTGTTTATAAATTCGTAATTAGTAAGTATGCAGATACATGAATGAATGCATATTTGTGATGTGAGAAGAAAGTGCATACATTCTTGCAAGTTAAATGTGTAGAAATGCTGTAGTAAACTGAACAAAATTTGAGTTAAATTTGAGGTAAAATTGGTTCATTTTTCACGGATAATGCTGTGTATAACAATGAGAAAACAATGCTGTCGTAATAAAATGCTGTAAGAAAGTGAGAAAAATTTTGAGATAATTTGAGACACATTTTTCCTCAACGACCCACCCGCGAGCATCAAATGAAGCCAGCGGGCGTTCTTTTTCTTTCATCTTCGTTGGCAAGTTGTGTGCGCAGCTCTCAGATTTCAACAAAAAATTTAGTAAAAAGTTTTTACTTGCTGAACAATAAATTAGTTACTCGACAATGGCAAATTTCGATGGGGAACTGCTCAGCAGGACATTCAGGGGCGTGCCGTACTGCTTCTGTCGTACCTGTTGTATGTTTGGCGGACTGCCGAGAGAATTGCCAAGTTTTATTCGACAAGTTGGAGGAAAGTTGTGGAAGCCGTTCGCAATTCTGCCAAATATTGAAGGTCAAAAGGTATGCAATATAATTAATTGTATTTATCACAACATTTTTATCAATAACGAGAAGACGGCAGTCTGTCATAAAATATGTAAAAATTTGTTTAATTTCATCTGAAATCTAAAGTTCAAAAAATTGATAATTTGAATTGGTGTTTAGTTTTTTGTACTCATTTTGTGTATTGTATATATGGTCTGCAGTTTACAATTGGAGAGACTTTTTCCAGTCGGGAAGAACACGGTGAATTCATTTTCTGGAAACGTCCCATGAAGGAAAAATTGAATATTACGACAGGAGGAAACTTGCCAGTTTGTGAGATCACCTGCGCGGAAGATAAGTACTGGGTTGCTCCTTTGTTATCAGGGGTAAGAGAAATTAAGGTTATTTTGTAGAAATTGTTTAAATAATTGCTTGCTTTCGTCTTTCTCAGGGGGAGGTCGTTGCCGTGAATGATGTCGAAATTCAAGACAGAACAGAGCTAAAATTTGGCGATTATTTATCCTTGGGGGTTCCAGCGACTCCAGAGGAACTGGAAAATTGGAAACACAGCTTCCCTCCATTTATCCGTTTTCCTGATAACGAGGATGAGATGCCTGGCTGGGCTAAACTGGAGTTGGATGCGTTCGAGAGTACTCATCGCCTCGTTTTGTTGTTCCAGGTATATTATTATTACTTTACGGTTCAATAATAATTTTTTTGTACCTGAGTTTGTAATTTTTGCATTATTTTACTTTTTTGTAGAGAAGAGAATATGACTTTGATTCGTTCTGGAGGAGAGAGCTTGAGCAAAGAAAGGAAGAAAAGAAAACGAGCAAGAACGAAACCGATGTTGACCTGAATTTGGAACATGTCGAGAAGAAAAAAGAAACAGGCTTTAGTCCACCGTTGGACGACTTGGTAAACTATAGCTAACTTTTTCCTGGTCAGTGTAATTATTCTGTAACTAACTCTTAATCGTTCAGGTGGTGTCCCTCATTTTGTCATATCTTCCGTTCGATGATGTGAAAAATGTGCGTTTCCTCTCAAAAGTTTGGAATCGAGAAGCTCTCCGCCTCATGAAGAAGAAGGGTCTCGTAAAATTCGATTTTTCACTCGGTTACAAGAAATTGGACGATTCCACAAAACTGTTCCGCTACAATCACGAAATGCAGGAAAATCCAATCCCCCACTGGCGAATTGCAATCCCTTGTATCGGCTTGAATGAATATGTCCATGAGATCCGCCCCGCTCAGGGGGAAAAAGTCATCGCAGATTTCCACAGGTTTCTCGGATTGAAAACGCACAACGTCACATCGTTAGATTTTGGTGGAAAGATTGCATCAAAATTTGATTATGATGAACAAATCAGAATTTTGGAAATGTGCCCAATCCAAACTATTCAAAATTTCGAGTTGGGCTGGACTTGGATTCAAGACGAAGCATCTGGACAAGGGTATCGTTTTCCGTCCAGAATTAAATTCACCAACTTGGAAACGTTCGTCCTCTCGATGGACGTTGGGCACTACGACATTGAAGGCGACGGTGGACCCAGCCGGGACTGTTCTTCCCTGACTCCATGGTTTAGCCCATTCCTTCATGCTGTCAAAGGAGTACGCGTTCTCATTCTGAAGTGCACTTTCTCCGCCCTTTTGGAAACGTTTTATGACCTAGCTAAACCATTCCGGAACTTGGAAGAGATTACCATTCAGCGAAACATTACTCCGAAAGGGCTCAAATTTCTGAACAAATTGAAGAAACCCTTAACAAAAATGAATATTGGGAGATTTGAGCACTGGAAAAAGCCACAATACCTCGGATTTGGACGACTCCTTCGCAAACATTCCCAGACATTGACCTCACTGAAGATTACTCTTGGAAATTGTGTAAAGAGCAATACGAATCTTAACCTGCCAAGTTTTCCGTCGCTCAAAGAACTCCACGTAGCCAAGGATTCTTGGAGCGATCAAGACGAAACGTTTCCACTTAAGGTGTCGTTCGATGGGGATGATGGCATTTCGTACGCCAAGCATTTTTCTTCCCTTGTATCCTTGAAGTTGGGAGAGGACAATCGAGGTTTTCTTGTGAGGAGTAATGAGAATGAAAATGATGATCTTTACCATACATTTTTGCCCCTCGGAGATGGAGAAGATGGCAATACAGGATTTCAAGTCTGTAAAACTTTGCGGCGTCTGGACCTCCCGACCAAGGCAACTTTGGAATCAGGTTCGCTTTTTGCCAGAGCAGGCGAAATTGCAAGAATGTTCCCAAATGTTCACAACCCGTGGATCGACAAGGCTCGAGAATCATCGGAGAACCCGACTGAGCAAGTTTCTTCTAATTAAATTAATAGAAATGGATGGACCGATTATTTATGGACACAAATTTTTGGAAATGGAAGGAGTCGACTCGACACATGATTTTTTTTTATAATTATTTATTTATTGTATAATTTACATATTTCAAACTCAATAATCTTTGTTTACATTTTTTTCTATCAATTACCCAGAAAGAATTGAGTTTGTTACTATTTTTCGTATCTTTTTTACTCAATTGTCCAGATTATTGTTGATATGTATAAATGTAATACTTTATAAAAAGTACTGAATTTCTGAACGTATGTATGCCTTCTTGACTTGAACCTTATACTTTTTGGATATTAAGTTTTTCATTTAAAAATTATTTATTTCAATTTAAGGTTAGTTGCGGCCAATTATTCATACAAATCTCATATGTATTATATTATAGCTTTCGTACATAACAATACCACATTTAATAAGACTTCACATCATTGGAAAATTTCTCGCCTGTTCATAAACATGTGCACTATGGGTAAACTTACATACATAAATCTGTTATTTCAAGGGCGTCGTTGACAGATAGATACTTTAGATTCATAAAATTTGATGTTCTAGTTACAGATTTAAAATACAGCGAGGATTTTCATATTTTGAATTTTTTTAAACCACAATTTGAAACGCACAAATGAAATTTAAATATTTAAAGCGTTTTTACACATTTACTAACTCAATCCATCTGAAAATCCTTAATTGTTCGCATTTTTGCTAAACCATTCCACAGCTTCGTCAATGCTCACCTTTCCGTCTTTATTTGTGTCCGCCTCCTCCACAAAGGTTTTATAGTTTACCGTTGGGAAGGATGGGTCATGAATTAACAACATTGCTACGATACATTTGAACTCGGATTCGTCAATAAATCCGTCCTTATCTCGGTCAAGTGTGGTAACATGGATTTTCATTAATGCTTTCGTGTCATCAACTTTTCCAAGAACAGCGATGGCCAAGTCCAAACTAAATTTGTCAGTCACTCAAAAGTTTGAGGTATGCGTTCATCTGTTCTTCGGTGCAAGTGTAGGCCAAGGTTTTGAGTAATAGGTCCACATCAGCGGCGTCAATCTCGTCATTGGAAAATGTCTTCATTTTCTTGAAAGCTTCCTCCACCTCGACCTTTGAAAGATTACGGTTGTGAGTCATCTAAAAAAAGCAGTAAAATTTAGGAAATTTAGGAACAAGAATCTAAATGAAGGTACGGTTTTGCTAAATCTTTCCAAAATTTCGCATGTCAATTTATGTACGTACATATTAAACAATTTTTTGAAATTTAAGATATAGATATGTAGACGAATACCTTTTTCAAGTCGACTTTGCTGTAGTCAAATTACGGTAACTTGAAATCTAAAAGTATATTCAAGCAGAGCTAGGTTAATCTTCTTTGTTAGTATTCTTTGTTAGGCCACCCTCCAAGATCAAGTGTGCAACTGCACCGGGGTTTTTCTTTGTTAAATTGCCAATAAATCCAGACATATCGTAAAACTACTTTTGCCAGTCACCGCATTTGCAGAAATATCGCTATGCAAATTTAGGCGATACGGGCTTTCCATGCTGAGTAAATTGTGTCTCGCTAACGGGTGACGGGTCTAAATACAAATGCATGAAAATGAGGTGACACATACAGTATTAATTCTGAGGTATTTAAATATATACATACGTAGGTATATGCACTTAAATATGTACATACATACTCTCAAATTAGACCGGCATATCACTTATTTGCATAAATTTTGATGCATTGGCGAGTTTTCGTACCATGGAAACCCCGTAAAAGTGAAAATAAGCATTTATGCAAATGAATTGACGACAGACAAGCTAGTTTACTTCGAGAGTAAGTATCACTTTCATTTGAATAAAGGTGCAAGCAGACGTAATTAATTATCCTACGACACGTCTGGTATTCAGTGTTTGGTCTGACTTTTAGTTTTTCACGTACACATTATGTACCATTCTATTCTCTGTGATAACTTATCACCGATAAGTACATTGTTTATAGGAATATTCACTTGGCAGTACTTTTATCGTGGCAATTGGGTGTCTTCGCGTCAGGCTGATTTATTTGTTGAAGTTTTGCACAATTCGCTTTCACTGTTCCGTTGAAGATACATAAATATTTGAATTAATGAGCGTATTCACAACAACATCTTATTTGACACAGCAACCCATCAGTGGAAATAAATCGTTGGAAAAATAATAGTTGTCTTAGGATGTAAAAATATTTGCTTGATAAAAAATCCAGTGCATATTTTAGCAAATTTCATAAATGAGCGTGATATGTACTTATGTATGTACATATCATACATATGTTTGCGGATATCGTGAGTCCCTAACATGCATAGATATGTACATATGAAAAAATTACGAAAATTTAAATCTCAAAAAATCTACTTCAATACTTATTATAAGAACAGTTTGTGCACTGTCTACATATTTTGTCGCGAAAAGATAAACTATCGGGAAATGAGATTTCACTTAAATTCTTTGTTTTCGTTTGGCAAGCAACCAACTATCGCATCTGAACTTTCAATTATGCAATTTCCATGCAAATTGTGTTTACATAGGATACATAAGTGGGAAAAAGATAAATAAAGGTCAGGATCATGCAGGAAAGCATGTCTTAACCTGCAGCCACAATAAATAAGGAATGAATTCTTTGTTGAGATGGAATGAGTTAACAAATTTTGGTTTGGTTGTGTTTATTTTTAATGCTACTTAAAAACTTACATACATTATACTATGATCAAATGATCATCAGGAGCACAATCCTGTGCTTCTGAATAAAATAAAACAGTAAATTACAAGACATGTCTCATTCTGCCTCAAGAATATACTTTAATTAATAAAATTCACCCAACTTATTCAACAATTTCAAGTTCATACATATATTATGTAACAACTTAATTCTTATGATTAGCTAATGAAGCCAAGCTACATAGATATATGTATGCATATGTGAATACTTTGTATTTAATATATTGGGCAGTAAGGAATAAATGATCGCAGGTTTAAATTGAATTTCACCCCGCTCCCAATGTAATCAAGTGGGCACGTGATTTTCGCGCGAAAATATCCTGCGATCATTTATTCCATAATGACCAATAGTTTATAAACCTTATTTGCCAATTAAGTACACATTAGGAATAATTAGTTTTGCAACGGTGATAAATCCATCCATAAAATCTCATCTGCTGCATGAATATTTTCTGGATCAGCGAAATCCATAAGATAGCCTCCGATGACATAAATTCGGTTGAGCTTCCTCGCATATACTGAACTGGTGAAAAATATGCTGTTTGAATTTTTTGGCAATCCGAGGACCGAAATTGAAGTGAAGGAATGAGTGAGAGGATTAAATTGAAGAATTGTTTCGTTATTATTCTCTTGTGCATATCCGCCGATAAGGTAACAACTTAACCCATCCGAGGTGAGGGATACCAATCTCTCAATTTGTGGGAAGTTGAGATACCAAACTTCAGACAGGTTGGTGGATGGATTGTATTTTTCCACGGGCTGGATAATAGATGGTTTTCTGTCCTGAAGTTAGTGGTCTCAACGGTGCGGTTCGGTTCGGTTCTTGGAAGAACCGGTTTAGAACCGAGAACCAGAATTGAAGAACCGAAACAGAACCGAACTTTTTTTAGTTGGAACCGAACCGGAACCGGACCAAACCGTGACCGAACCGGCGGTTCGGGTCAAACCGGTAGTGTTATTAATATGCAATAAACAACAAACAATGCTAATTGACGTGTTTCTGATGAAATTTCACATATAAGCCAATAACTTATCTGTATTTAAACAAGCAAATTCTAATACATGTCAACAGCAAAACCACTTATGTATATATTATTGAAGTTAGAAAACAATTCCAAGTTTGGGGTGCAACCAAGTCAAAATTTCATTTTGGAAACATTAGGGGTGTGACCAAGTAAAAATTTCATTTTGGAAACATTGGGGGTGTAACCAAGTCAAAATTCCATTTTGGAAACATTGGGGGTGTAACCAAGTCAAAATTTCATTTTGGAAACTTTGGGGTGTGACCAAGTAAAGATTTCATTTTAGAAACTTTTGGGGGTAAAAATTTCGTTTAGGAAACTTTGGGGGTGAAAATTTCATTTTGGAAACTTTGGAGGTGTCATCAAGTCAAAATTTGGTTTTGGAAACATTGGGGATGTAACCAGGTCAAAATTTCGTTTTGGAAACATTGGGGGTGTGACCAAGTCAAAGTTTCATTTCGGGAACTTTGGGGGTGTGGCCATGTCAAAGTTTCATTTTGGGAACTTTGGCAGTGGGGCCACGTCAAAATTTCATTTTGGAAACTATGTGTATTTCGGGAAATTCGTAAAACTTTTTCGAAAATATGATTAACTTCGCTAATGTATTTATGTATGAAGTTCGGTTCAACCCGAACCGGCCGGTTCGGTTCGGTTCTCAAAGACTTGGAACCGGAACCGAACCGGTAATAAAAGTTTCGGTTCGGTTCGGTTCTCCGTATAAACCGGAACCGAACCGAGCCATCGGTTCCGGTTCGGTTCTATGAGAACCGAGAACCGTTGAGACCACTACCTGAAGTGCAAGGCGAAAAATTAGTTGTTACATAAGTTAGGAAAATGTTTAGCGTGGTTTGCATAAAAAAAAACACTGACAATAAATTACTTCGAAATATTGCTTTTTGTAGGCATAATTTCTTGCACGAAAGAATGGCATAAAATAAGCGTCATCTAGCGGAAAATCCTTACAATTAAGTGTAATGCAACGGTAACGCATAATTCGCGCATTTGCATGCCTATTGCACAGGTGCAGTAAATGCGAGAAAGCTGCACATTTTTGCATTGCAGTAGTGCAAAAAATGCTGACATTGTGCAATAATGGGCAACAGAAATGTTTAAAATTTAAGTTACCAATGAAATCAGAATATTCACTCTTATCCATATTTTTGACAATTATAAACTAATACATATTTAGAAAGTTGGTATAATTTCTGTATTTTGGAAATTTAAACCTCTAACAAATAGAAATATTTGAGATACGAAATGCCATACTTACACTAGTAATAGCTTTCTCAGAACTTTGTTCAACCCCAAAAACCCACACGTTTCCAGTGACTGGATCTCTGATTGTGGAAAAATACATTAAATCTGCCAACAATCCGCCCACAGTTGTTAAGGTAAACGTTTCCATGTCAAATTTCAAAATCTCATTGACTCCCGATTCCTCAAACCATTCTCCCGCCAAAACTATAAGTCCCGTATTACGGTCAGTCTTCACAGCCCCCGGGGCAAATTGAGGATAGGGCAAATACCCTACCACAGCGACGGCATTGGTTTCCGAGTTAAATTCAAAAATTTCTGAAGAATCTCTCCGCATTTTGAATCGATCATCCTCTCCCCCAATGTAAAAGTAACTTGTGTTCGTTCTTCCCGCCAGAACGGCCCCGAATCCGACCCCCCAGGGAAATTGGGACACGATTGTTAAATTGTCCGCAGAAATCGAGTACTTTAGAATTTTATCGGAATACAAAGCTACTCCGTCGTATCCGCCAAAAATAAAGATGTTGTCATCCCCGTCGTACACGGACGCCACGCCGCAGGATAAATAGGGTAGGGTGGCGACAGACTTTTCGACAGTGAGGGTCTGAGAGGTGGAATAATTGGGGAGAAGGGTAACAATTAATAGGGAAAATATGGGGTAAAATGATCCCATTTTGGTAGTAATGATCGAACTGTGATGAGGTCGAGGGGATCGAATTGAGTGATAACTATTAAGTTAGGCCAGGAGAGTTAATTGACTTTGGCCAGGTGGCTTGTCTTATCTGGCATGAGGTTAACATTTAATTAAGTACGTTAATATAAGTACCCGTATCTTAACAATTCCGACAGGTAAAAGTCCTGTTGGAAAGTTTAAAGTAAATAAATGCTCATTGTTTGTATTGACCAGGTGCGAATTCAATTGTACATACATACTTACACACATTTTTTTTACTCAATGTGAAATGAGTGTCGATAAGCATGGTTATCATTTGATGTAAATATGTCATTTTGTCATTAATTATGTTTGTCAGTTATTTTGAAATTGGTGTGGTTTCTGTGAATCATACTTATTTAATGCATGCATGTATCAATGAACAAGTTTGTTCACATTTTGACCATTACCTGATCTGATTGGAATTAGGAAATTTAATGCAGAATTGAACTTCGTGCGAGGGTCGATATGCAAGAAACATTCAGAATTCCAGATCGCACAGTACATTATAAAGCATGAAATCGATTTTAAGAGATTAGGACTAAGGCGTCAAATCTATTTTTATTTTATTGTACCATGAGAACATGCATACACATGATCAAAATTATCTGAACAACGATAATGCTCCATACTAATTAATTACACATCATCATCGCCTTCGCCATCTTCAGCCTCGCCCGTGGTCTCGGTCGAGGGTCGAATTGTGGTCGTTGTTTGTACCGGCGCCGGTTGTGGGGCGGGTGGTTGCGCAACCACCACAATTGGCTGTTGCTGTTGTTGTTGGTACTGCTGGTACATCTGTTGCAAATATTGCTGTTGCTGTTGTTGCTGTAATTGTTGTAAATACTGCTGCTCCAGACTTTGTGCTTGTTGTTGCTGTTGTTGAAATTGAGGTTGCGGTTGGTACTGCGGTTGTAGAAATGGGGGTGGTTGTTGCTGCTGTGGTTGGATAACGGCGATGGTGGCGGCGGGCGCGGCGGCGGGAGTTGCTGTGGCTTTGGTTTGATTTAAAACGGCGCTAATAGCTTTAACGGGAATGTCGGCGAAGCCTTTTAAAATGTTGGTAAGTAAGATGGCCACGTTTCCTAGTGTTTCGGCGGCACCTTCGGAGTTTCCGATGGCGGAGATGGCATCTTCTACCCCGTTTGTGGGTGTGTTTTGGCGAGGATGCTATATATTTTGGAAGTAAATAATTAGTAAAATGTTAATCATGAATACGATAAATGCATGAGAAATATTGCATGGTGCGATAGATCGAAAGTGATGGGTTTTATAATTTATGAACTGCTAAATAGAATTTAATTAACAATTCTCAAGAAATTTTGCATATGCAAAAATTTACAACTGATAAAAATGCATATCTATTTGTTCCGTTTAAAAATAACTGTAATAATTTTGAAAAATTTGCTGATATTTGACAATTCAGATTATTTATCGTTAACCGAGGTATGAAATTTAATAGAAATTCGAAATTGGGGTAGTGTTCTTTACATGAGGTTAAATAATCGAGTACAACTCACTATCTAGCTTAACACTATATATAAGAAGTATGTAAATATGTATGTAAGTTCGAAATTCTTACGATTTGGATATTTTCATTATTAAGTAAAGGGTTTGTCCCAACTCTCCCGATGGTTAAGGTGATCTGGAAAAGTACGAAATGAATTTTTTAGTCAAATCTAAATCACTATAAAAATTAAACTCTTACAAGAAGCCATGGTAAGGTTTGGCTTATCCTGGACGTGGGCCTTAACCTGGACATCTCTGCTGCAAGAGGGAAATATTTAACTTTCTAAATGCGGGATTAAATCTGCTCATGGATGGAACTAGGTTGATCTGCAGATTAATAACTCTCTCTTTCTGTTATCATGTGGATTGGGACAATGCGACATGAAATGTTCACCAGGTTTGAGGGTTGTACATAAAACATGTGATAGAATTGAGGTCAAGATATCCTATTTCTTGTTCACTTTTCCATATGTCGTCGTTGGTGGTAAATATGAGGAGTCAAATTTCTACGACCAAAAAGGCCACATACTTTATGCACAGTCCCCATTGAATGGAAATGGTTATAATTTATTATTGGCATAATAGATCTGATATGATGTTACTTTCTATTTCATTTGCATTTTTTACTACGTGTTCCAAACGTGGACAAATACCTATATTGAGCATGAGACGATATCCGATCACCACTCACCAGATTATTACCCTGTATTAAAAACATATACTGAAGCTGGGCTCGGATCTGCTTCCTCTAAAAAGTCCTGTTTTGATGGGTTTTGAGCGTGCACGCACTAGCACCTACTTTTGCACCACGTAGACATGTGAAATTTTAAACTTTGTCCTAGAGATGCGAAATTTGGCATGCACATGCACCAAGATATGCCGCATCATAATCTAACATCAATTCCCGTTCCGTTCGCTATAAATTTTTCAGGAAAAATCAAAAATCAAACGGAATAGGGGTGACATTTAGTTTTTGATTTTTCCTGAAAAATTTATAGCGAACGGAACGGGAATTGATGTTAGATTATGATGCGGCATATCTTGGTGCATGTGCATGCCAAATTTCGCATCTCTAGGACAAAGTTTAAAATTTCACATGTCTACGTGCAAAAGTGGGTGGGAGTGCGTGCACGCTCAAAACCCATCAAAACAGGACTTTTTAGGGGAAGCAGATCCGAGCCCAGCTTCAGTATATTTATGTATATGTTCCTAATACAATCCTATCGGATTGTATTTATAAACATAACCATGCAAAGTATGTACATATGTGCAAACGTAGTGAAAAAATAGTTGCAAATGTGATTAGTGACTGGGAATTTGAATCGGAAAAACGGAAAACCTCACGAAACCATAATCGAAATAATGTCGTAAGTCTGATAGACGACGCCAAAAGCTGTGTAAAGTTATCCTAGCAATAGAAGAGTAAAAGTACTCGTACATACATCAATCTTGGGTCCTTCCTATTTTAATATACTCATCAATCGAAAAACTAAATTACGAGGCCGAATAGGAAATAATTTTACTGTACATTTAAATGTATATTTTGAGGGTAGAAATTAAATTTTCATGAGACACATCATCTATAATACGGTACACACACATCCCTTCAGAGAAGATGAGCTCCTTCATCGAGGAGATTTCGCTGCATACTGATGGTGGTGGACGGTCAAAGTTATCTCAGACCACGAACACATTGTTCGGAAGAGAGAGAGAGAAATTTAACTCCAGAAATTCTTGAAGGGTTGAAGAATGTAAGAATTCAGTTATTTTTTGTGGTGGAATAGTTTAAAACCTGTTGGAATTCACTGTCTCACAAGGGAACCTCAACTACTGTCCCATCTCGATTTCCTTCGTAATAGCCTTAATCGGCAGATAATTTAATGAAACTAAAACTTTGTCATAGAACATGCGGTGCAAAATCGCGTTTTCGCGAAATATTTGGCGAGAGCTGCACCAAAACCTGCATTTTCCCAATGCTTTTAACATAGCCCCCAGCCTTTCGATTGATGAAATGAACTTTATAGGATATTGAAAACATATTTATGTACCGTCCGCGTAATTTTAGCCCGATCACGAATATGCAAAAAGTGAATTTTTTGCAAATTGCGAAAATCAGAAAAATTTCGCAAATTTGAATTCTTCGTTCCTTTAAATTCAACAAAATTTTAACTAATGTAAAATACAATTTTCTTATTGCAAATAATTTGCAAAAATTTGCAAAAATCGAAGTACGCAATTTTTCAATTTTTCAGTTTCATTATACAAACTAAAAATTATCATTTACATACCTATGCATGTACGAATGAAGGAAAAGCTAATTTGTTTAACAACTAAAAATCACACCACACATTGCAATTTTTTGTAACTTGCAAAAATAAATATCGCAAATAATTTCGAAAAATACGTAAAAATAGACTAACATTGGTTATTTTAACTAATTTTCATGAAAAATTGCAAACTTCAATTTTTGCAAATTTTTCCAAATTTTTTGCAATAAGAATATTGTATTTTGCATTTTGCAACTTGTTAATTTTGTTCAATTTAAATGAACGAAGAATTCAAATTTTCGAAAGTTTTCCGATTTTCGCAATTTGCAAATAATTGGCAAATGTCGGGATCACTTTTTGCATATTCGTGATCGGGCTGAAATTACCCGGACGGGTATATAAATATTTTTTTCAATATTCTATAAAGTTCGTTTCATCATTCGTAACGCTGGGGGCTATGTTAAAAGCATTGGGAAAATGCCGGTTGTGGTGCAGCTCTCGCCAAATATTTCGCGAAAACGTGATTTTGCACCGCATGTTCTATGACAAAGTTTTAGTTTCATTAAATTATCTGTCGATTAAGGCTATTACGAAGGAAATCGAGATGGGACAGTAGTTGAGGTTCCCTTGTCAGATGCAAGATGATCAAGTCTGGTCCGACAGGAGCCTGACCGTCCACCACCATCAGTATGCAACGAAATCTCATGGATGAAGGAGCTCATTTTCTCCTAAGGGAAGTATGTGTTTCTTCATTGCAGTAAGTATAAGTTGTTTATGCAGAGGATGCTTGCAGAATTACATTTTATATCATTACGAAAAGCTAAACTTCCAGCGCCACACAAAATTAAAAAATTGCATCGAAAGGGATGTATGTATCTGTATATGTACATGTATGTACATGCATAAGAGATGTGTTTCATGAAAAAATTTATTTCCACCCTGAAACTAAATATTTATCGGTTTGTATACCTACTGAATATTTGCCTGAACATATTCGTAATTGCTCCAGAACTAAGTAAATATGGATATTTTAATATAAGACTTTATTACTAAGAAATTTGCAGTCCCTCATTCAACTCTACTTCCCATTTTTCATGAGTTATTACTTTTTGTATGTATGAAATTTGAAAAAAATTATGTGTTATTGCTACATATTTTAGCCCTTTTTAGCATGATGCAATGGACATGTAGATGCTGAATTAAAGCCAGTTTAGCTGCACATGAACGACTTTGGTATATAAATATTCAAAATGCTCAAAAACTAAGTCCCACCCCGACCATGAAGCAATTTGCAGTGAAAATTTCAGAAATTTTTCAAGTTTTTCATTTACGTATTTAATGCACGAGAAATTTAAAATCGATGAACATAACTCCATGGAAGCAGGTTTATGTTTTCTTATGGTTTGCCGATACATATGTATGCGTGAATCATTTTTGGAAATCTTTCCCTTTGAAAATTTATACACTTCATAGCACAGTCAATAGTAACCTGATAATATTTATTTATGCATGCACTTGTACATATGCATGTGTCTATACGTACATATGCATACGTATACATACGTACAAAAGTGAAGAAAACTCTGTAAAGATGACGGGGTGAATAGACGCCTACTCAAGGGGGCAATGGTTACATGAGCCCTGGAGACAAAATACCTATTCTGTTCCTACAATGTTGACGGTTTCCTTTTTTACCTTGGCAAACGTAGATACATATGCACATCTCTCTAATATCGGACGTAATGGTAGGAACAAAGAAAGGATTCTTCAACCAACAAGGCAAAGACAACAGATGCCAAGCATGGAGAAACAAGAATCTTCATCCCCTAAACAATCTTCTCTACATTCTACTCGTATACTGGGAATTTTCTTCAGATAAAAAGTTTAACGTGAAAGGGTTGATTTTTATGTATCCTGCGGCTGATGCAACTTTAGATAACGGGTTTAGAACATCTTTGAAGCTTCATATGGATTCTATCATTTTGTATCTTAGCACCACCACCGAATCCAGAAATTCTTCGTGTTCGAAGGTATGTAAGACATGTAAATACATAGAAACTTGGTATTTATTTTCTGCATTACAACCACCACCAGGAATTCATCACTATTTTTGACGTATTCCTGAAGAATGTTCACTTGTGTTGTGTAGTAGGAAAAATCTCATGCGAAAGGAAACTATGCAAAACACTATTTTTAAGCTATTAATTACTGGATAAGTACAAAAAACATTGGTTTGAAAGACAGCATTATGAAAATTGGGTAGCGGGATTAGATGAAAATACTGGAAAATAGAATTTTAAATAATTAGTTTAGCAAGTTTTTTTACCCAGTATATGCATCCATTTAAAAAAAGCTACGCATTTATATATGCACTTGGAGAAGTCCAACGATAAGAAAACCCACCATTTTGACAATCCACATCGTCCTTATGATAAGCTGCGGATCGCCAAAGTGATAAGAACGATTACAAAGTATGTGCCAAAGTGAAAAAAGTGTTTTATGTCTTAAATAAGTAAAACAGAAAACAAATTTTGTAACCAAACCGGCTGCCAAAAACTGCTCCATTTTTCTTCGCATACAGGAAATCATTTTTCGATGCAAACATCTAATTTAATAAATTGCTTACAAGAATGTAAAATCAGATTTGGAATCTTGTTCATATTTAGTTACATACATACATATGTATGTATTTACATAATTCCGAAATGTCAATCTATATAATCGAAATAAATAATACAGTTGAAGAGAGAACAACTTCACTCCACCAAGTCCTGATCTCATCTGAAGAGTTGAGGAATGTAAGAATTCAGAGTTTTTTTGTGGTGGAATAGCTTAGAAATGTTGGAATTCTCTGCCCAAAATACCAAATGATCAAGTTATGTACATACATAGTGGTCCGACAGAAGCCTGACCGTCCACCACCATCAGTATGCAAGAAAATCTCATGGATGAAGGAGCTCATCTTCTCCAAAGGGATGTATGCAGATATGTGCTTATGTGCATTAAGGATGTGTTTAATCGAAAATTTAATTTTTTCCCCGCAAAGTAAATATTGATATGCACATACTACATATGTGTAACCAGTCAATATTTGTATGATTGTGCATATTGAATATGTTTGCTGCATTGTTAGAAATCTGGTTTATTCAAGCTAGTATTGATTTCTCGGTGCTAAAGTTGCTACTGCTTGGTTTTAAAGTTATACCAGTCCGTAATAATTTGCTGCCGATATGGTAAAACTTTAATACCGGGCAATGCTACAATGACGTTATCAATACGTTAGTTATCAATAACACTTTGGTACAGTCATGCCATACATATATGTTAATCCTGCTTGGTTTTATTTTAATACTGGATTTCTTCTAAGAGTGTAGGGAACTAAATAAATACTTATGGGTTATTTGAATATGAGATCTAAATAAGAATTTTGACGCCGTTTTGTAAATGCTTCACACATTTTAAATAACCTTTATCTGTCATTCCTACTGTTGCTTAGGACTTTTTCCATGATAAACTGATGCACTCACAAAAATTAAACTTCCACATTGCATGGTCAGACTTTAGTACAGATACATACTATACATACATACATATGTATGTACATTTCTTAATCTGAAGAAAATTTCCCGCATATACATAATTATAATGTGTAGACAAAGGGCATAGGTACATATGTATGTATGTAATTGTTATTTATCCACGCTTGGCATCTGCTGTTCTGTTGGATGAAGAATGCTGTGTGTGCCCCCACCGTAGCAACCCGGTCCACATTACAGGAACAGATATTACATCTTGCATTCCTTCGTACACGAAGAATTTCTGGATTCGGTGCTGGTGCTAAGATACAAAATGATAGAATTCATATGTAGCTTCAAAGATGTTCTAGACCCGTTATCTAAAGTTGCATCAGCTGCAGCATACATAAAAATCAACCCTTTCACATTACATTTCTTATCCGAAGAAAATTCCCAGTATACGAGTAGAATGTAGAGAAGATTGTTTAGGGGATGAAGATTCTTGTTTCTCCATGCTTGGCATCTGTTGTCTTTGCCTTGTTGGTTGAACAATCCTTTCTTTGTTCCTACCATTACGTCCGATATTAGAGAGATGTGCATATGTATGTTGGCCCAGGTAAAAAAGCAAACCGTCAACATTGTAGGAACAGAATAGGTATTTTGTCTCCAGGGCTCATGTAACCATTGTCCCCTTGAGTAGGCGTCTATTCACCCCTTCATCTTTACAGAGTTTTCTTCACTTATGTACATATGTATACGTATGCATATGTACATATAGACACATACATATGTACAAGTTCATGCGTAAATAAACACATTGCTTATTAGGTTACTATTGACTGTATTATGAGGTGTATCAAGTTTCAAGGGAGAAGATTTCCAAAAATGAATCATATGTCCATAAGAAAATATAACCCGGCTTCCATGGAGTTACATAGATTTTAAATTTCTGGTGCATTAAATAAGTAAATGAAAGAATTGATAAATTTCTGAAATGTTCACTGCAAATTGCTTCATGTTCGGGATTGGACTTTGTTTTTTGAGCACTTTGAATATTTATATACCAAAGTCGTACATATGTACCTATGCAGCGAGACAGCATGAAATTCAGTACCCACATGTTACTTGCATCATGCTAAAAAAGCTAAAGCATATTAACAATAATTCATAAATTTTATTTAAAATTTCATGCATACCAAAAGTAATAACCCATGAAAATGGGAAGTAGTGCTTAATGTGGGACTGCAAATTTCTAAGTAATAAAATCTTATATTCAAGTATCTCATATTTGCGTATTTATTTAGTTCCGGCGAAATCACGAACAACAAATATTCACTAGCTAGTGAATATTCGTGTACCCACTTATCTGTAGTACTAGGTATACACACCCAACTAAATATTAGTTTGAGGGCGAAAATGAATTTTTTCATCAAACACATCTCTTATGCATGTACATAATACATACACATCCCTTAGGAGAAAATGAGCTCCTTCATCCATGAGATTTTCTTGCATACTGATGGTGGTGGACGGATGAGGCTTCTGTCAGACATCTGATATCTAAGACAGAAAATTCCGATAGTTTTTAAACTATTCCACCACAAAAAATATCTGAATTCTTACATTCTTCAACCCTTCAAGAATTTCTGGAGTTAAATTTCGCTCTCTTCCTAAGTATGTGTTAGTGGTCTGAGAGAAGTTTGACCGTCCACCACCATCAGTATGCTACGAAATCTCCTGGATGAAGGAGCTAATCTTCTCCAAAGGGATGTATGTGCATTTGAGATGTGTCTCATGAAAATTTAATTTCCATCCTCAAAATATTTAAATGTATCTACAGTAAAAATTATTCGACATGTGTTTTGTAGATAATTTATTTTCTATAGTCAAAGACTTATGTATGTATGTATGTATATGTGCATGCAGTAAATATTTTGGCTGAACATATTCCAATAGATTTTCTTACCGATTGTGACGTGTGATTCATGTTTGGAAATCTTTACCCCTCAAACCTGGTGCAAATACGGATTTCATAATAATGTCCATACTGGTCGAACAAGGAAGCGTGACCATCCATCACCAAAGATTTAACCTTTCATTGTAAAATTTAATATAGATTTGTACATAATTGTTTAAATATATCTGTTGCGTAACAATAGATATTTCTCTTCTAATATGCCTGATAGCAGGTCTTCATTCATTCATCTCATATTTAGTTCAACGATTAACAATGTAAAAATTTCAAATTGAATTGCTAGAATTTTGACTTTGGTAATATGACAAATTAAGCGTACTAAAAGGGGGGGGGGTGGGCTAAATCACACCTCAAAATAGGTACATCTCGTAAAACCCTCCACGTACATACATATGTACATATGTGTGTATGATTAGCATCAATATTGTGCTAATTATTGCTCATTAATTTATTACTATTAGAGTTATTCACGGGAAAGTCGGTACTGTCTGTTGCAAGGTTAGATCAATACATGTCATTTGTATAGATAAGGTTGTAATTTTTTGCTAAAGAGGTAAAAGAGGGATCTAATTGCATAAATATGCGCATGTATTCTACCCCAGGCTATTCATTAATTACACATGTAAGCATTTGTTTCGTCGTAATTTGATACATTTTGCATCAACGCGCATCAATTTTACTTGCATAACATTTTCTTTCCAGACGACATATGTATATAATCGTTCATGCAGTAGCAGTCGGTGCGAGAATTGAGGGGGATGTTAGGGAGCGTCCATAATTCACGTGATCGATTTTTGGACAATTTTGACCCCCTCCCCCCCCCCTTGGTGACCGTTGGTGATAATTTCGCTACCCCCCCCCCCACCAGTCACGTGACAGATGATGCTCAAATTAAATAATGTTGTCCGGAATAACAATATTATTCCAGTGTTTTTTAATCATTAATCAAATTAGAGCTATACACATGTGCAAATAACTATTTAATACGCCCGTCAGATATAAGAATTTTAAGTCAAAGCAAGTTTCCAAATATGCAAAATGAAAATCTAATCTATATAACGTGTGTGAGGTATGCCAAGAGAATTTATATATAACTCTCACGACATTTATTGGCATATACGGCATATACAAAACTTTACACATGTCACGTGACATCTGACCACCTACCCCCCCCCCTCGTGATAATTGGTGACAAATTTCAGACCCCCTCCCCCCCTCTAATCGATCACGTGATTTATGGACGCTCCCTTATCTTTTCCTAGAGTGCTGGAGTCAGTGGAATGATGATATACTTAACAGACAAACTTTTTCTGACAAAGTAACAATAAGTGAAATCAAGTTGATTAGTTTTGAGCAAAAATACCGGTGTTCGGTGTTCGTGCATATGTAATTGAAATATAAATATGTAAATATGCACATATAAAGTATTTATGTACTTAAATTAATCCTTGGAAATTTATAAGTCTGTATAGTTTGTGGAGATGCATATTACAGATATATGTATCGGCATACTAATTATTACACATGTATTTATGTGAGTGATTAAATGTTTCTCACCATAAGTACATATTAAATAGATCTGTTTTACATAATTGTATTTAATTATGGTTGCAGGGTGCAACTTTATAGCTGTGCTTTATGTAAAAAAATATACATTTTTAACTTTCGCCCGGATTACCTTCAGAACTGATATTGTATAACTTTCAATTGTCTGCCAGCATTGTGTATTAATCATTCTATACGCTGAAAATATATGTTTTTAATCTAATTCAGTCAAATAAAATAATGTCCGTCTCAATCAAAAACGGGTTCAAAAGATTCGGAAATGGGAATTTGGTTCTTCGCAATATAAACGTCAGTGTATGCAGTGGAGAAATGTAAGGTTTTCTTATACATAAAACCCATTTGAAATATTTTATTCATATTTGTTCGAAATTTTAGTTACGGTCTTTTAGGTGCTAGTGGTTGCGGGTAAGTTGCAATAGGACATGTAGATATTAAGTATGAATGTCTGTAATGTTGCCGGTATAGATTCATAATTATACTATTTGATCAAAATACTTGTGTATGTATCTAGCAAGACGACATTGCTCTCATGCATCGTGGGATTACGCAAACTTGAGTCTGGTCAAGTTAACGTGGGCAATCAACCCAGACCCGGCAATCTTGGCAGTTTTTGCGGATATATGCCCCAAGTTCGATGTCCACCATATTTTAATCATGCATAAATTTCACGCGAACTGTTGACATAAAATTATAAATACGTATCTATGTATGAACATTAGGAGACTTCACTTTTAAGTGTGCTGACGATCCGAGAGGTTTTAAAGTATTTTGGACTCCTTTATGGCATGGACATGCAAGAAATAGAGCACAGGACACATTTCCTGTCAGATATGCTTGACCTGAATCAACTGGACGTAGTAGTTAATAAGTTGAGGTTCGCACGTATGATGTAGTACTTGATTAGCTTTAGCTTTAGTCTATCCCGTGAAAATAGTATGAAATTCCAATTTGCATACAGCGGTGGCCAGAAAAGGAGGGTGTCCTTGGCCGCGGCAATGATTCATAATCCAGCCCTACTAGTGCTTGACGGTTATAATTTGACCTTATATTTAATTAAGATTAAGGCGATGTAACTTATTGATGACCCCATTTTAGAACCATGCGTTGGATTGGATCCATTGTTGCGACAGAGGTACTCATTTACAATTTAATATGGCCATGCATACTTAAATATGTAAATATGTATGGGGTTTACATGTAAATGCTGATGCATTTCATAAATAGGATTTGGGAGTTCCTCACCGAAATTTCTCGAAAACAAGGGAAAACCGTGATAATTTCAACCCATTATATCGAAGAGACGAAATTTTGTGACAAAGTACGTTTAAACAGGTTTAGCATTGGAAAATCCCACTTTCAAGAAATTGTTTCTTGAATGGGTGCAAGAAATGAAAGAGATAAGCGCCAGGTGGGGCATATTATTGCGCTGTTAATTTCTCGAAATTTCTTGAAATGTAGGACAAAATATTTGTATGTACAAGGTGCAACAAACCAAACATTACATACAAAAGTAATGGATTGTTGTACTTATGAATTACAGATAGGTTTTTTACGAGGTGGTCGTCTTTTAGTGGAGGACAGTCCGACATCGTTGCTGGCCAGGTTTCAATCCACCAAATTACCCGACGTCTTTACCCAGCTTTGCAGAAATGACGAAAATATGTCTCATCATTACGAAAAGAAGTTTGAATTGGTCAATAATCAGCGATTTTCTGAGAATTTAGCACCCATGGAGCATCTCCCGGACAAGATGTCTTCTTTGAATATTAGACGAAACAATGCGTCCATTTTCCACGCTTTATTTTCAAAGTGGTGGCATCGAACTAGACGGGATTGGAGGTTTGTCCCAGTTCTTACTATTAGTTCTAAGTACAATTCATGACTTACATACTACCATTTTGTTTTGCTCGAAACCTTATTAGATTATATATTGGACAACTTGGGATTCCTATTCTGTGCGTTTTCTTCATGCAAAATATAATAGGCCGAGAACCGAACAGAATCCCGGTCAGTCTCGTTTACAATAACGCAGAACTCTGTGAGAATCTCAAGCATTTGAATTCTTCAAACGAATGCTTTTCCAACATCGGAGTTTGCAATTTACTTGATAAATTCGATGATGAATTCATTTGGGTACGTTACCGAAATTCAGTAAAGATCGAATACCCTTTTCGTGACTTACGATTGCCTAAATATTGAAATAGATTCCCACAAATTCATATGAAGATGGCGTTGAACAAATAAAAGTAGGACGGACTAGACTGCTCATTGAGTTTCCCGCCAATTACGAAACTCATTTCCAGCATAGAATTATCTATCGTCATTTTGCTAGTAATGAATCCCTTCAAGGATCAACGATCTCGGTCCGCATAATGGAATCAGGTATTTATTTATCTCTCGCATGCATTAAATACTTTGAAATCAACAGTGTGCACTTTTAGGCTTGATTTTGTCAATGTGGGCAAGGAAATTGATCCTTGAAAGGTATATAATTTACCTCCAAAATATTATGTTGGCCTGCTCGATCAGCGACGACGTTATCAAGCCACCACTTCAGGTGCGTATTCTAATTTGTCAACTTATCAAGTTCCATGTCTTCATACTAGATATGTTAAGTATAAGATTGTTAGATCTATTGTTCTACGTTTTAGTTCCGCTCAATCTACGGGAGTTCAGAAACATTAGACTTGCTTCCGTATATGCAGCTTGGCCTCCTAATTTTGTGAGTTAATACATAATTTTATTTCCTTTACATATGTATGTTACCCGTAACATTTCCAATTTTACACGTGGATTGGTTGCAGTGCACATATTAAAACCCCAAATCATATCATACCGGGGTCAGTAATTGATTTCCTTCAACTTTTTCACGTTTCTTGAATGCAATGCACGAAATTGAAGAACTGCATGAGATAGGCGCCATCTAGAGGCACACTCTTTGTACTAACAATAAGGAGTGTCCTATCCACTAGATAAGATTATTTCTTGTTTTTCCAGAAACTAACACTGCAAAAACAATTTTTTGCAAGTATTTTTTACAAGAAAACCAAATAAAATCCTACGCCCATCCTATATTTAGATTTCTTGGAGGGGATTTCCTAACATTGGTTGCTTCTTCTGAATTAATTCTAGGTTAATGTTTATAATGCCAAAGTGCCTCGGAATACTCTGGATGGAAGATAAAGTAGCCGGCCTAGAGGACAGAGATTATGTGACGGGCGTCTCTCTCTGGCATCGACTCATTGTCAACACCGTCACTCAAAGTTTCATGATTTTTATGCAAATTGCAATTTTCTTTGGATTATTCTGTGGCGTGTACGGCATGGAGATCAAAGGGCCATTGTTGCACGCGGTGGGTTTAGTCTACACGATTGCCCTATGCTCAGTGACGATTGGTAATTTAATTTAATTAACACGTGACCCCTGATCTATTAACTTTTAATTAAGAATTAAACTCCGCAGGTTTTTTGACTAGTACCGTTTGCGAGGGAACACTGGAAGCTATATTTATCACTATTGTAGTATCAACTAGCCAACTGTTTTCGTCAGGTATTTAAATAACTCTGGTCACAGTAAATAGCAATATGTAATATTTATTTTGTGTGATTAACAGGAATTTTGTATTCGACGGAATTGGCTCCTCCGCTTGTCCGTACAGTCTTCCATTGGATGCCGCTAACTGATGCAATTGAAGCGTTGCGGTCAATTTGTACGAGAGGGTGGGATATTAGTCATCCGGTCGTTTGGATAGGATTTCTACCAGCGATTGGGGGGATATTAATTTCTGTAGCGTTTTCCTTTCTGGCGGGACGAATGAGGTATAAGTAAAATTTGGATGTACATAGTGACAATTGTACGCCTACATACATACGTGCATACAGTACAGTAGATACTTTTAAACATTTTAATATAAACCTAAAATTTAATTAAGTATGTTAAACAACATTTTTTGTCCGAAATAAAATTTAATCCCCATGGATAAATTAATTTCGAACCCAATAAATATCTACTTATTTCTTTCATCGATTAAGGTGCATAAATGGCTGAGGCGCCGTTCATAAATTACGTAACGCAAGAGGGGGAGGGGGGGTCTAAGGCTCCAATGATATCGTGCCTATGTTATGTTAAAGGGGGGAGAGGGGGTCTAGAAAATCGCGATTTTTGCGTTACGTAATTTATGGACGGCCCCTGACCTACGATGACATGTTGCAGTGCCCGATGGAAGGCTAAGAAAACCCTCAAAATTAGGATGTATCAACGTTTGTAGGTATTATTGTAACGACACAAATCCGAGAAGCAAAGCCAGTTACACTGTTATTATTATTGCTTGAACCTTGAACGCATTAAAAATCTTCAGAAAATTCCCAATACAAACATACGGAAAACCGCAGAGAAAGCATCAAACAGACAAAAATTCAATTGGACATTGAAACGTAAAAAGGCATGCATTTTTTCAAAAAAAGGCAGCCCCTTTCTGCACACTTTCTATATAAGATTGTAGGATTCTGTAAGTCAAATTTCGAAGTAATATATGAAATAAACGGTATTATAAAAATCTATAACCCACCAACGTGTCACCCTATAGCTAGCACCTGAAGAATTTTCAGAAATCATATTTACGTGTTACCCCCACTAATTACCTAAAGTACTTATTTAACCCGATTTAAATATATTTACAAATAACTTTTTAATGAGCCGTTCTTCCCTGTTTGATCAATGTGAGTGATAACGTCTGATTGAAGCAGAACGTCTGCATGTAAGGACTGAGACAGACCTTGACTGGCTAGTGAGTAGCCAGACGCCACCCGAATCATCATTGATTATGTATTTATATATTTACATGTAAGCAATTATCTAATTAGGTTACATTTACCTATCAGCAGTCAGGATTGACTTGCTGTGGGGTATAAAAGCCCAATCAACTATGTATCTCTTAACCATTCTCTCACTGGCTGCGATAGCTAGCTGAGCTCTGCTAGAGAGTAGCAGCAATAAATCCGATGTATGTTAAAGCGGATGCGTTCACACATGCACTTTCTTCCTCACGCTAACTAGAGCCCTGCGACAGGCCTCTGCAGAGGAGTGCAGAGAACACTAACTGTGTACAGGTCTCACTCTCCACGACCGCATTCGAGTCCGCATCCTCTCAACCAGGCCTGATCCTCTCTCTCTCACTCCCTATTCTACACACATGCACTCAACTGCACCCGTGAATTCGCCGCCCTGCTACTTTCCTCCGTGGTATCAAACCACCAGCATTGGCCTGACAAACCAATAGCGTAGCATTAAAGCGACCTCACATGCACTACCAGCGGGGTCCCCCGATCGATAAAGTTCGATCCGAATTTCACCTTGAGGACGGTACAGCCCCGAATTTGTCGCTTAATCAACGCTTTCTTCCCCGACAATTGGCTCGCCTTCTTCTCCAAGGATTCCGTCACCTTTTCCGACGCCGTGTTGACGCCGTGTTGACGCATGATGCCAAGGTGAAAGCGAGTACGTTCGTCACCACACCGTTGACACCCATAAGGGGAAACACAAGAAATCCGGGCACCGCGATGTCTGAGTGATGGTTTAGCGTGACGTACTGCGCGAGAATCTGGATTCCGGGGGCGCAGAGCATCAACGAAGGCAATAGGCGATCACGGAGGAAAGCATTGAATGATTTTTCTAAGATTTGAATCCGCTGGTAGAATTGGATACATATGTTCAGGTGCGCCTCGGTTTCGATGTTTTCAAGTTTCCTATGTATAATATGTTAGGGAATTCATACATACATATTCACAGATTTTTGTGCATCTTCGTAACTACTGACTACATACATTGCATTTAATGATTTTACTATGTATACCCGTTAAGGATCTTGACGTAGCTCAATATTGAGAGTATCCCCACGAAAAGGGCGTAGATAACCCAGCATCCTGCAGCCAACATCATGTGCCTAAACATCCACCCTTCGAACAGATGTATGCCCAGCTGTATCGCACTAAATCCCGTCCTTTTCTTACAATTTGGTTGCATCGACATGATGAACGGAGGCGTACAAGGGGCATATCGCAGTAGTAGGAATTGTAGGGCAGGAATGACAAACAGAGAAATCTCTGCGGCGGGTATGCAAATTCGCATCATTTTTGCGCCAAGAGAAAGTGGCGGGGCAGGGTTATCTAATAATTTCAAAATTGTTATATTCCTTGAACAAATTCTGTTATCAAACAACTTACCGGCCAGTAGGTCATCCTCATAGTCCAGGAACGAATTGATCACCTGAATCCCTGCAATATCCAGGTTCCAATTCCACCTTTGGATGCAACAGTAGAAATACATCGAAAAAAAGATAAATCCCTGAAACCGCTCGGTCAACGTTAACCAACCGAAACAAATATTGGAAAACAAGGCTCCCGTGTAAAAAACGGAGAGCACGCATTGAAGTCTAAACATACGAATGTGACGCAGATTTTTTGTTAAAATCATCCGCCCCGACCTCTTATCGAATTCGAACGGTGTACATTTTGCGAATTTGCAGAGCTGGGTGATTATTGGTTTTTGAGGGTGGATTATGGATTATGGATTAACCACAAAATAATGTGGATTGTGATTAAATTATTTTCGTGAGATTAATTTATGTCAGGATTAATCCGGATTAATCCATACATTCTGGAAATTTCAGGATTATGGATTATGGATTAATAATCCTGATTAATTTGGTGATTAATGATTTTTACACTATATCTAGCGCAACAAATTTCAACTATGTGGGTTCACATAAAATATTTAAAAAGCAGTTTCAATTGATATATATAGTGCAAGGCAGCGAGAACATGTTGACTCTTCAAATGGTAGCTGACAGAAGAAAGTTGTGAGAACTTGAGACTTCAAGCTACACAGAGTGGGATGAAATAGAACTATGGGAATTGAACTGAGTAATCCAGATTGAGAATTAATCATGAATACGTAATCATGATTAATCATGATTGGGATTAATCTGGATTAATAATCAGGATTACTAATCATGATTGGGATTAATCGGGATTAGTAATCCATAATCGTGATTATGGATTAAAGACACCTGACGGTATTATTCCAGGATTAATTCTCATTCCTAAAAAACCGGGATTATGGATTAGGATTAATTCTAACAAACTACCGTTGCCGGATTATAGATTATGGATTAATAATCCTTAATCCGGGATTAAAATCCATAATCCTTAATCAGGATTATCCCAGCTCTGCGAATTTGCAACTTTGAAAGTGGAATTTTAGGATTTTCAGGTATGACGTGTACATCTTGGAAGGAGTACATGGGCAGATTGCGTCGAACGAGTGGTGGTAACCAATACTTAAATACATACTAATCCTAAGTTAGTGCATGCAGGTATTTAGCCTTTTAATTATAGAGATCCGGGCTCTAAATTCTTGTCATTTCCTACATTATCAAGTATGTATGTACATATATAATCGTGACACCAATGCAAGAAATATAATCAAATAATAAATATAATCAAGTAATCACGATGGTTGAAAACTGTTTAGCATTAAGCATTATGTAATGCGGCTATTCGTACCTTCTTTACTTTTCATATATAATGCTCATACACTATAGGAAGACGAGAATTAAATTTTCTGGTATCACTACTGGGCAATTGTATTATCAATGCGTCTCTCCCTGTATCTTAATAACGGGAATTAGGGTTTGGTAAGGTGGTGGTAATGAAATATTCACTAATCAACAGAAAATCATAACCAATCCCGTATAAAATTATTTCCAAATCGATACAAGTGCGGAGAAATCATGTTATTACGCGGCATACGAAAATAAAACACATACTAATTAAATTGTGCACAATTTAATAAATATGCGACGAAATTACTTGGCTTTCAATAAACATGTTCATTGAAAACCAAATAATTTCATTGCACAATCGACGTCATATTGATTTGATTCAAAGACGTTTCATTTCATACAGATAAAAGGGTTCGATTCGATTTTTCGTGCCACCGTGCAACCGGAGTGCCCGCCTGCCGGGAAGGGGGCGAAAACTGGGAAAAGAGGTTAACCTTAAAAAAAACTTCTGTGAGGGACCGTCGGCGTTGGGGGTATCTTTTTTATCCCAGTTTTCCTGGATTTTAGTTTCTCCCATTTCCCGGAACAAAGCCAGAAATCAAACCCACAGATAAATCTGCAAAGCCTAAATTAAACGGTGTAAAAATATTTTTTCTAAACGGTTTATAACATTTTTAGCAGCACGATAAATGAATCCTGAAAACATTCACATTTTAAATTGCTTAGCTCTAACTGTAAACCCTAACTATAAACTTTATAGTTTAAACAGCCAGCAATGACTTATTTCTTAATTATCTTCCGGTACCACGGGAATTATGTATGCACTAACTAATACATAAGGTACATTCAATCTAGGACAGCTTGCATGAATGTTATTTTAGGATGATGTTTTGTAATGATTTTTAGTCTTATTAAGTATCTACATATGTTCCACTATTGTGATCTATGAAACCATTTGAATTTGTATGAATAATTTATCAAAACTAACATTATAATAAATAATTTTTAAATGAACAATTTAATTTCCAACAAAACAACACGTGTTAAGAAGGCATAAATTTAGAAATCCAATACTTTTATCAAGCATTCCATTTCTAAATACCAAATATAATCTGGACAATTTAGTCACAAAGATACAAAAAAAGGTAACAAAATCAATGGTTTCGAATTGATGAAATACTTGCAAAAAGAATATTGACAGTTGGAAATATGAAAATCATACAATAGATAAATAATTTAAAAAAAATTGTTTGTCGAGTCGACTCCGTCCATATCCGAAAATTCGTTCATAAAAAAGCGGTCCATCCATTTCCGTTAATTTAATTGGAAGAAACTTGTCCAGTCTGATTCTCAGATGCTTCTCGAGCCTTGTTGATCCACGGGTTGTGAACATTCGGGAACATTCTTCCAATTTCGCTTGCTCTGGCAAAAAGCTGACCCGATTCCAAAGTTGCATCAGTCGGAAGGTCGAGATGTCGCAAAGTTTTGCAAACTTGAAGTCCTGCACCGCCATTTCCAAGGGGTAAAAATGTATCGAAAATAAAATCATTTCCGATGGCATTCCTCCTCCACCCAATATCATTGTCCCCCAACTTCAAGGTTTCCAGGGAAGGAAAATGCTTGGCGTACGAGATGCCATTTCCTCCATCGAAGGATACCTGAAGTGGAAATCTTTCATTTTCCTCGACCCAAGAATCTTTGTTTACGTAGAGTTCCTTGAGCGACGGAAAACTTGGCAGGTTAAGAATCGTATTGCTCTTTACACAATTTCCAAGAGTAATCTTCAGAGAAGTCAAAGTCTGGGAATGTTTGGAAAGGAGTCGTCCAAATTCGAGGTATTCTGCATTAGTCCAATGTTCAAATCTCCCAAGATTCATTTTTGTTAAGGGTTTCTTCAATTTGTTCAGAAAATTGAGCCCTTTCGGTGTAATGTTTCGCTGAATGGTAATCTCTTCCAAGTTCTGGAATGGTTTAGCTTGCTCATAAAATGTTTCCAAAAGTGGAGAGAAAGTGCATTTCAGAATGAGCACGCGTACTCCTTTGACAGCATAAAGCAGTGGGTTCAACCAAGAGGCCAGGGAAGAACAGTCCTCACTGTGATCGCCGTCGCCTTCAACGTCATAACTCCCAACATCCATCGAGAGGACGAACGTTTCCAAGTTGGTGAATTTAATTCTGGACGGAAATCGATACCCTTGCCCAGATGCTTCAGACGTACTCCATCTCCACCCTAACTCGAAATTTTGAATAGTTTGGGTTGGGCACATTTCCAAAATTCTGATCTGTGTATCATAATCAAATTTTGATGAAATCTTTCCCCCAAAATCTAACGATGTGACGTTGTGCGTCTTCAATCCGAGGAACCAATGGAGATCTGCGATGACTTTTTCCCCCTGGGTTGGGCGGATCTCATGCTGATAACAGTTCAAGCCGATAGAAGGGATGGAAATTCGCCAATTTGGGATTGGATTTTCCTGCATTTCGTGATTGTAGCGGAACAGCTTTGTGGAATCTTCCAATTTTTTGTAACCGAGGGAAAAATCGAATTTCACGTAACCCTTCTTCTTCATGACGCGGAGAGCTTCTCGATTCCAAACTTTTGAGAGGAAACGTACATTTTTCACATCATCAAACGGAAGATATGACAAAATGCGAGACACCACCTGGACGAATTACAAAATCATTAAATTGACCAAGAAAGACAACACTTATCTAAATATACTATACTAATTTACCAGTTCGTCCAACTGTGGAATAAAGCCTGTTTCTTTCTTCTCCTCGATATTTTCCAAATTCAGGTCACCCTCATTATTGCTAATTTTCTTCCTTTCTTTTTCGAGCTCACTCTTCCAGAACAAGTCAAAATCATATTCCCTCCTCTACAAAAAAGTGAAACAATGCAAAAATTGCAAACTCAAGTTAAAAAAATTATTACTTCACTGTCAAATAATAATATACCTTGAATAACAAAACCAGACAACGAGTACTATCAAAAGTTCCAAATTCCTCTCGAACCCAGGCAGGCAGGTCGCCCTCCTTTTCAGGCTCGAGTACTCCCAAGGATAAATTGTCGCCAAATTTCAGCTCTGTTCTGTCCCGAATTTCGACATCATTCACGGTAACGACCTCCCCCTGATAAAGACGACAACAAATATTTATGCAAATAATTTCCACAAAATAACCTTTACATTATCTTATTGCTGTTACCCCGGATAATAAAGGTGTGACCCAGAACTTATTTTCGGCGCAGGTGATCTCACAAACTGGCAAGTTTCCGTCAGTCGTGATATTCAATTTTTCCTTCATGGGACGTTTCCAGAAAATGAATTGTTCTTGCTCTTGTTCCCCTTGTTCTTGCCTACCGGTGAAAGTCTCTACAATTGTAAACTACAAATAACACACAATATAAGTACAGTACAAAAAATACCAATTTAAAATGATATGATGATGAAACTTTAGGTTTCAGGTAAAGTTAAATATATTTAATGACATTATATACCTTTGGACCTTCAATATTTGGGAGAATTGCGAACGGCTTCCACAACTTTCCTCCAACTTGTCGGATGAAACTCGGCACATTTTCCGGCCGTCTGCTGAACATGGAACAACCCCGACAGAAACAGTGCGGCTCACTTTTCGTGGTCCTGCAGAGCAGTTCCCCATCGAAGTTGGCCATGGTCGAGTAATTAATTACTTGCTCGGTAAATTAAAACTTTTTAATTAATGTTTTGCTTAAATATGAGAGCTGCAAACACAACTCGCCAACGAATGAAGAAAGATGAAAGACAATTTTTGCGCGGCTGCTGTAGTTTGATGTTCCCGGCGCGTTGTTTGGGGAAAAGTGAGTTTACCTCAAATTATGTCTCATTTGGTCAGTTTTATTATTAGGTACATCAATTTCATTTGAGTGTGAGGTAGATTTGTTGAAGATGACTCATCTTAGGAGGAGAGCGTCACCACCTGCCCTTCACAGATCTCGATGCCCTTTGGATATGTGATAGGGCCCCATGAGTGTACTAAAACCCTGAAGTGGTTTGACTCCATGGCCACATTTGCGTTAGGGTCGCTAGGGTCGCTTTTTGGCTTATTATTATAGAAATATGAGTTCGTTTGAAATATATAGTTGATACAATGTAACCTGTTATATTGCTGAATCATGCTGAGAATTAACTTGTAATTCTATGGGCCATGAGCCTTGTAAGAATTATTCATTGAATAAATTATTATTATTATATATTATTAAGGGGTGAAAACCCCTTTATGGAAATGTCTTGTCTGTCCGTCTGTCCGTCCGTCTGTATCCACGATAACTTTTGAACGGATTCGAATTTCGACATCCGGTTTACGCCAACGAGTTTCTAATTTTTGGGGACGGGATGAGTTCGAAGATGGGCGTTGTAGGTCATTAGGTCACGGCGCCACGGTGATGACGCCAACGGTCAAAGGTGTCGAATTTTTAGTTTCCACCGTTTTAGACGTATTTTTGGACGGGGATTTCAGAAATCGCCACCATTTCGACGTGCGACGACCGTGTGACCGTGTAGACGACGCCAAAGTCGAAAATTGGCGAATTTATTGTTGCCACCGTTTTAGACGTAGTTTTTGCGGGAATTTCAGAAATCGCCATCATTTCGACGTGCGACGACTCCATGACCGTGTGGGAGGTGTCGAATGTCGAAAAAATGACTTTTGTCATGTGGGGTGTCTATTGAAAGGTATTGTCGTGTACGTTTGAAGTACGCGGGTGGGGGTGTCAAAACTGGGCAAAATGAGACGTGGGGTAATGTGGGACAATGACGGGAAAGTGCAGAAAGACGATGTAGGCGTGCCACAAAGACAATTCCGTGTGTTTTCACCCCTTTGCTACATTTCGTTTGCAACGGTTTATTATTATATAGAAATATGAATGAGGTCATCATCGTCACTTCATTAAAATAATGTGAAAAATTCATTTATCTTTCATTTAAAATTGGGATGAACAAAATCGGTTGAGAACTGAAAAAGTTTTCCCCTTGGCATAAAAGTCATGTTGCACATGATAGGAAGTAATATTTACCTTAAACAATGACTTGTTCACATCGAACAATCACAAATTCCAGGAATTCTCCCACTAAACACATTCGTCGTCGAGTGGTCTCTCAGCTTCCTATTTCTTTAATGACTCTTCACTCTGAGAGGATGATCCAAATTGTAAAAGTGGGGGCTGGTCACATGGCAATACCCACTCATAGCACTATGGATTAATTAAAAAAATTACTAATATGGTTTTAAATCATTACTAAATCTTAAATCATTACTGGCCGGCGCATGTACATGTATGACTCTACCCGCATGGTAAGAACGAGCATTACCGTCGTGGTAATGAAAATTTACCACACAGAACCAACTTTCTATCAATTCAGTAGGGAATTACTATCAAATATATACCACTATGGAGTATCTATATGCTTCCATATGTACTAGATTTTTTACAGTGTGGTTAATTTATTTGATTCCCAATTAATTATCGTAATTAATCGTATCGTTATTAATTATCAATTAAAAGCTTAAAATAAACTAAACCCTAAAAAGGATTGCTTAGGTGAGACTGGAGTATGTGCGATTAAAAGTTTGAAATAACCCCCTCACTCCTCCCACACTAGAGAGAAGGTGATAGTAAAATGAGCATCACCGCCCTGGGAATGATCTCTGAATTTTGCAAAAATTATTAGAAGAATGATTTATCTCAATTTTGCACCCCAAAAGCTGAAGGCCGATTAGATAATTCTTGGGTTGTGCATTCAGGAATATGAAATAAACCGTAGTAACGTTAGAAGTAGCTCACCCTGCAATATAAATTAGGCTGTATATAGGGTTTTACATTGTCAACTTGTCATGACATTTTGACATGTCATAAATGTCATAAATGTCATAAATGTCTGACATTTATTCTTATTGACATTTATGACATTTATAAAAATTTGTCAAATTCGAAATTGTCAACTTTTCTGTCACTTGTCATTGACAATTATGACATTTTCGTTTTTTTTATCTCATTTTCCCCAAATAAGAATCATCGTAGCCTACGATTCGTAGAGGCGGTAAATATCAGCTAATATATTTTTTTACTACGAACAACACTGAAAATATTATATTGACGACTTTCGTTCTTACAATTATAACTTATTCCGTTTGCCGCTGATCATCAGTTTTATTTGGAGCATTTATTTGGAAAAGTTGGCCGATGCCAGATATGTTGCTTCCAATTATATTGACCTAAAGTCTCCTTTCCGATAACAAAATGTTTTTCGTTAAACATGTGAGCAATATGAAGCTTGGACCACTGGTAGTCTACAGAGTTTAGGGTCATCTATTAATTCACTCGATACATAATTCATCCAGCAGGATATACAGAAGATGCAGCCAGCTCGGTGCATATTTTCTAAAAGTTTCCAGTTACGACCAACTTGGTAAAGTTAACTGGATCTAATTGAGATAACTGTACCAATGCTTACAACGTTTAAATATTTACAGTTCTAGACCGGGAAACTGAATCTTACTTAGCAATCAAACTAAGAAACTATAAATAAAATTGAAGGCGGAAAAGAGGAAATTCCAAACTTTAAAGTTCTTGAATGAAACTCTGAACGGTCGTAATTAAATTTGACGTTATACTTAGATATATATAAATATGAGTGGATGGCGATAAAACAAGAAAATTTGTTGACTCGTTGAATTGCAATGAGAGAAAGAAGAGTTTTAATAGCTGTTACCAAGATTATCAGTAACGGGGCATATTGAGATTGACAATTATGACAAATGTCATAAATGTCCGTCATATTTGTCATAAATGTCATACATTTTCAAGCTATGACATTTATGACAAAAAATTGACAAATTGACATGACATGACATTTATTCCGTTGACACTGACAATGTAAAACCCTGGCTGTATATAATTTTGCACCAATGGTGCCGAGTAAGTGCACAAAATAAGTATACAACTCTATAATTTGGGTCCAATGGTGCATTATAATCGGAATATGTAGGTATAGAATTTTAAGATTTTTTGCATCAATAGTGTAGAATAACGCAACAAGATAAGATTCATAATGATTTTGACAACTTTGCACCAAAGGTGCGGAATAAGCCGACAAAAGAGATCATAATTTTACATATTCTTGCACCAAGGGTGCAAGATAAACGGAAGAAAGAGGAAAAGGCCGAATTAGTATGCATCACCTGCGCAGCATGAGCGACCAACAGGCCATACTTAATGTTGAAAACTTTATGTCAAAATTGTATGACTCTTTCTCCCGGAGATTCTGCACTATTGGTGCGTAGTACATCGCGTCCACCAATTATTTCGCATCATTTTGTGTTAGCGATTGTTAGATACCAACGGTGCCATAAATTTATTAAAAAATGAACCTGGTGTAACGAATATGGTTGAATTGTAATGGGAAGGGAGGATGATGTGAAATTGATATGTTCCCTCTTATATGTACTTATGTCCCTATTCGCGACCTAATTCTAACTTCCTGGATGAAAGTTATCCCGACTTTTCGGTGAAGAGCAGTTAAATGATAACGGCAACACAAAGGGGGGCTCTCTTAAATAACTAATATTTATTTTAAAGCTGGAATATGAATTATTTTACACGCTATAAAAATATTTAAAGAAGAAGAACCCTAAAATAAAGATGTTGCTCATAAGGAGGTATTAGACTGAATGTCTTTCCAAAAAGAGAAAAAGAAGGAGGAAAAAAAAGCTGAGACGAGAGCAAGGTTGCCTCGTTCTTCCCGAGTGGGAGAAAGATCTTCCGGCTATTGCCAGATGGCAGAAGGGATAGATTTCTCCCCGGGTGGGTCGGATTGAGACCCGTATCACTGGTGTGATCAGCACCAGTGGTACGGGTTACACTGGTACATTTTAATTAGCATCAATTGATACAAAAAAGTCGTTAACAGACGGACGGACAGACGGACAGGAGGAATTCAATAGCTCTTGTGCTACGCAGGGCGAGCTAATAAAGCCCCACTTACATTTGAAAACCAGGGCGGTGATGCTCATTTTACCAGCACCTTCTCTCCAGTGTGGGAGAAGTGAGGGGGTTATTTCAAACTTTTAGTCGCACATACTCCAGTCTCACCTAAGCAATCCTTTTTAGGGTTTAGTTTATGCATTAAGTTTTTTTCATTTTTAATAAAGCATATACCATATATATTCATAAGTCTAAAATGAATACATATCTACTTACATACTTACATACATACATACATAAATATATGTACATATATATCAGTACTGCATAAACCACCCTAGTATATTTATACAATACTAGTTTATTCAGATACGTAATACGAATAATGACAAAAATTTACCATGACCAAAAGCATTATATCATTTACATGAAATGAGTGAATGTAGTTAGGAACGCCAGTTTATAAATTTCTAAGAAGTTTACCAACAAACGCACACGACTTACAATTTTTCTGGCCTTCTACCCACGCAAAACTGGGTTGACTTGAAGTCATTCATTACAAAGGAGAGAAAATGAACTATAAATCCAGTGAGTATTTTAGTGGAATCTCTGCAATATGAGATTTCGTTTGTCGCGTTTAACACTGAGTTTTATATTGACCTTTAACTATACAGGTTGTGCGTGAACGATCAATATCCTGGGAAATGCAAATACTTATTAGTCGTGCATTGATCGAATTATCCGTTTAAACCCCCCCCAGGATTGTGACGAACCACCCAGTCAACCCAATTGGCCAGTGTTTATGTCCTTGGCAATGCAATACTTACTTGCAACTGGTTGGATTGGTTTCGAATTTACTCTTACATCATTGTATCTGTAAACTCAGACTTGTGTGTCCCGCAATATGGCTTAGAGGCATTTTATTTGACTTAGGCGGCGTCATCTGGTAGCCAAAATACCTGGCCAGCGTTTGTAAATGAACCAAATTCCTGAATACTTCGATTTCAGTATCATCTTTGCCAATGCAATAACCAGCTTCCGCTGGAGGGATTGTTTTCGGATCTACCCTTATTCAATCTTCCCCGAAACTTCAGGCTTGTCTGACCCCTGAGCGAACAGATTTAGAGGCAATTTATTCAAATCTATTACTCGAGCCATCATGTGATGGCAAAAATTCCAGAAACAGAAGAGCGGTTGTGTAATGCAGGTGGGTAGCATATTATGCACAACTCGATTCACGACACCAATGATTGCAGTTTATTCGGGTATGCTCCTGTTCCAAATTCACGAAACTCTCGATCAACCGAAGTTTTCAGTATCAATATCGTTGTCAATGCAACTATTCGCTGCTGCTGGTGGGATTGGTTTGGAATTTGCTCTTCCTCAATTGTCCCTGAAGAATCAAGGTTGCGAAACACCCACAGGAAAAGATTTCGAGGCATTTACTTGAGATTTTGCAGGCGAGGCTTCGTTTGGTTGAAAAGCTGCCTGGTGAGGCGGCCCGCTTAATAATACTTGGGGATAGCATACTATGCATGTCCTTGGAAATGCAGATACAAAACGCCAAAGATAACGGAATGGCGGGTATGTTTGAGTTCCAAATCGTAAAAACATACCTTGGCCGGTATCAATGTCCTTGGCAATGCAACAACCAGCTTCCGCTGGTGGGATTGGCTTCGGATCTACCCTTATTCCATTTTGCCCGGAAATTCAGGTTTGTCTGACCCCCGGGCGAAAATATTTAGAGGCAATTTATTGAAATCTATTACAGGAGCCATCACGTGATGGCAAAAACACCAGAAACACCGGAGGGGTTTCGTAATAAGGGTAGGTAACATATTATGCACGACTTAGGAAATGCAGATTCACGACGCCAATGCACACTGCGGCCGCCTTATGGTATGAAATATCAGAAATTATTTTACGACTTTTTTGAGCTATTTATGCATATGAGGTAGTTTTGGGACGGATGACACAAATTTTATGACTGTAGTGCGACCACACCCCCTGGGGGAGGAGTTATCTGCATTTGAAGGGGCGTGGCTTTGAAAACTATTGCATTCGATAGATCTTTGAGAGCTACCCCAAATTCATATAAGTTACACCAACATACGATGCTCCAGAGCAAAGTTATCGGCCCCTAAACATCGAAATTTTGCATTCTGCGCCCACTTTGCGACCGTGTGGCGCACTGCGCGACCTGATTTATGGGTTCCTAGATATCTCAAACGACGCTATCCATACTGGAGCATCACGTCTAGCAAGAGGCTTCATGAGGTCACGCCTCATTTGGCCGCAGGAATTTTTTGAAAATCGTCAAAAATATAGCCGAAATAGCCTAAATCTGCACACTAAAATATACTTTTGATAATTTATTTAAAAGTCGTAATGTGCATTCCTTCCCTGCTGCTTGCATTAAACCGAGTAAAGCCCGGTATATGGCTGAAGGGTGAGAGACTTGAGGACGAGGCCCAGCAGAAAAATTGTAAACTTTCGAATTTTCGTTAATAAATACAACGAAATATATTTTAGTGTGCAGATTTAGGCTATTTCGGCTATATTTTAGACGATTTTCAAAAAATTCCTGCGGCCAAATGAGGCGTGACCTCATGAAGCCTCTTGCTGGACGTGATGCTCCAGTATGGATAGCGTCGTTTGAGATATCTAGGAACCCATAAATCAGGTCGCGCAGTGCGCCACACGGTCGCAAAGTGGGCGCAGAATGCAAAATTTCGATGTTTAGGGGCCGATAACTTTGCTCTGGAGCATCGTATGTTGGTGTAACTTATATGAATTTGGGGTAGCTCTCAAAGATCTATCGAATGCAATAGTTTTCAAAGCCACACCCCTTCAAATACGGATAACTCCTCCCCCAGGGGGTGTGGTCGCACTACAGTCATAAAATTTGTGCCATCCGTCCCCAAACTACCTCATATGCATAAATAGCTCAAAAAAAGTCGTAAAATAATTTCTGAGATTTCATACCATAAGGCGGCCGCAGTGTGCAATGATTGCAGTTTATTCGGGTATGCTCCAGGTCAAAATTTACGAAACCCTCGATCAACCGAAGTTTTCAGTATCATATAATACCATACGAATTTTTCAAATTCATGAAATCGAACTGAAATTTGGTAGACAATTTGCTTATGGCTCCTAATATAACAATATGTATTAAGATAGGAAAACTTTTCATCTGGATGACCTTCTTTAGTAACCCATACCGATTTTTTTAAATCGTCGTAACGAGTTTAAATTTTAATTTTTCGAGATGCATTTTTTGATAATTTCATGCAAAAAATTCGAATCGTAATAAGCACAACTTGGCCTGACTCGGGCTACTTATATCAATTCTGCACTGTAGGATTTTATTTAATTAATTGTTTAATTGATTTGATTATTTACCCGATGATTCATTTGTACTAATCACATTTTAAATCAAGATATTAATTCCCTTTGTTATAACTAACATGGGAATGGTAGGATGTCTTAACCAAACCTCTCCCCCATCAAATCGATCACATGCTTTCTGCATAGTCCTTAATAAACGTGTTTGTGCTTCTTTAGTGGTTTCAGACATAATAAATAGAATATTAGATAAATAGTTCAGCCATCGGTGAAACCCATTCCAGAAAATTTATCACCAACTGGAGTTGAGTCGTATACCTATTTAGCTTAAATAATTATTCTACTGGGTTTGGGCAAGTCGGCCCTCCGGAATTGTCCAGGGTTCAGGGTGGGTCGGGTTCAGGTCGAGCAAGCTTTTCTCGGGTCGGATTACGAAGGAGAACAGACATGGGAGAAAGAGCAAGCGGTGACTTAATCAGATTTAACGGTGAACGGAGAATAAAGAAATATTTACTGCATAATATGATAAGATTTATTTATCTGCATATTGTGCTATCAAATTTATTACAAATAAAATGTTTAACGCAATTTGAAATAGTTAGAGGTTATTAAAACGTCTATAAATATATACTTTAGATATGTATGCATACAAAATATTTTGTAAAATATTTAAAATTGTCAATAAATCTAAGGATAAGTTTTACTTGTACCTCATTCGGCTTGTGTGAAAGGAAAGCACTACAGAAATTAATATCCATCCAATCGCTGGTACAAATCCTCTCCAAACGACCGGATGACTAATACCCCACCCTCTCGTACAAATTGACCGCAACGCTTCAATCGCATCAGTTAACGGCATCCAATGGAAGACCTTACGGACAAGAGGAGGACCCAATTCCGTCGAAACCAAAATTCCTGTTAATCACACATAACATAACAAATATGTTTGTTATTTACTGTGAGTGAAGTTATACATTAAGACTGAAGAGCTTCGTTTTATTTATGCAGCCTTAATTGGCGTAATTCAACCCCTACGGCACAATGTTTTTTCTTAGGTGAGGCTATGGTTACTGAAAAAAATACCTAGGTAAGCATTCACTTGGGTTCTGAAAAGTGACCACAGCCCATAACTTTATCATTTCTCAACCGATTTTGCTCAAATAAAAACCCAGAGTCAATTATAATCATGAAGAATCTAGTTCTCAGCTGCCATGCATGAACTCTTCTTATTTTGTGTTTAATCGTTCAAAAATCACTTCCATAATAACATTTTGCCTTATTATACAGAAGTGAAGCATTTAGCAGAAAATTTGCGTGGATGGAAATGTGACAAATATAGCTATCTTTCATTTAAAATTATAATCATCAAAATCGGTTGAGAAATAAAAAAGTTTTCCCTTTGGAGAAAAATGAACCTTTGGGTTCAGGGCCGGCGCTGAAGGGGTCAGGTCGCCTAGCAATTGAAAAGCTTTGATTCAAATTTTAAAGGGTGCAGGTGTAAATATCATGTAAAATGTCTTAACCCAGGCCTGGGTTAGGACATTTTACATGATATTTTGCAAAAATTTGGCATCCGTCAGATAATTTTCATAATCAAATCAAATCAATTTTGTTCACAAATTTTCAGCACCTATCTCAAATATTTGAACCCAACCTTAACAAAGGTTTGAGTAACAACTCATTCACCGCGATATTACCAATTATATAAAAGCTTAAAATAAACTAAACCCTAAAAAGGATTGCTTAGGTGAGACTGTAGTATGTGCGATTAAAAGTTTGAAATAACCCCCTCCTTCCTCCCACCCTGGAGAGAAAGTGTTGGTAAAATCAGCATCACCGCCCTGGGAATAATTTCATCACGGTTAAATAAATTCGCCCCAAAACATCATGTACTTGGTCTATATTAAATTAATTCTAGCAGTTTACGCATCTACTAGTTTTATCGTTAGAATGACCATTGGTGGTTGTTGATTTTTCGTTAATAATGTACTGTAATATTATTGAAGACAAGTTCATTCGGTAAATAAAATAAGACATGGCTGGGGCTTATTTCACTTTGAATGCACAGTCAAGAAACAGATAATCAGCCATTCTTTTGAGATGTTTATGTAAATTCTATGTTAATCTTTTCTGTTATATTTGCACTGCAAAAACTTGCACAATTCAAAAATTATTCCCAGGGTGGTGATGCTCATTAAAAAATTAAAATTTACCCAAGAAAAACTTCTTTTTATTCGGTGACATCACAGGCTCAAAACTCTTCGACTTTCTCTAAACATGGGGAAATTCACGTATTATAACGTGCAAAATCGTTGAGTTTTGTAAAATAATTTTACAAACTTTTAACAAAATAAGAAGACGCCTTTGATCTGAGTAAGTTTACAAAACATTTGTAACCCAAGTTTAATTAGAAATATTTGAACGATTTTGTAAAAGTTAAAAGTCGAATTTACGGATTGTACATACAATTTTACTAAGGATTGTCTCAGTATTTCTTTCTTTTTTGACGACGGTAAATACATAAATTAATTTAAATACCTGACGAAAACAGTTGACTAATTGTTATTAGGATCGTGATAAAGATAGCCTCCAGTGTCGTTTCCCAAACAGTGCTTATCACAAAACCTATGGATTATAATTATTCATTAAGAGTTGTCAATTGCTTGTCACACATGTACAAATTAAATCAAAATACCAATCATCATCGCACACAGAGCAGTCATGTACACTAAACCCACAGCGTGCAACCATTGCCCTTTGATTTCCATGCCATATACGCCGCAAAATAGGCCCAAGAAAATTGCAATTTGTGCAAAAATCACGAAACTTTGAGTGACCGTGTTGGCAATGAGTCGATGCCAGAGGGAGACGCCTGTCACATAATCTCGGTCCTCAAGCCCGGCCACTTTATCTTCCATCCAGAGTACGCCCAGGCACTTCGGCATGGTAAACATTATCCTAGAATTTGTTCACAAAGGAAAAGCCTTAATTTTAGTCCGAGATACCAGTGTGCATGGAATCTTATGGACTAGATTTTCCCGTAAGAAGCATTTGCAAAAAAATATTTTGCAGTGATACTTTAAGGAAACAAAAGAAATAACCGCTATCGCAATCTTACAGACATTCCGTGCAATTATCTACATAGATAATTTGTACATATGTACAAATGCTGAGCCGCTAGGTTGCGGCTATCTCTTGATATGGTTAGGTTTGATTTTTTTAATGAGAAACTTGCAGCCATAGGTTTTGCATGCAAAAAAAATCAGTTAAAAAATCAAACCAACCTATTTGCAAACTTAGAAACGTTGCGAATTGCATCTGTGTGTATTGTATCATACAATTTGTATGCATGTATGTATGTACACCGTGTATTAGGAATCAAACTGTTATTAGCTCACGAAATTAGGAGACCAAGTTGCATATAAGGAAGTAAGTCTAACGCTTCTGAACTCCCGTAGATTGAGTGGAACTAAAACATAGAACAATCTCGTACATAAGCAATAAAGTTTATATGGGATTTACCGCGCAAAATAAGGAATTGGACAAATTAAAAGGGGCACCTGAAGTGGTGGCTTGATAACGTCGTCGCTGATAGAGCAAGCCGACAAAAGATTTTGGAGATAAATTATATACGTTTCAACGATCAATTTTCTTGCCCATGTTGATAAAATCAAGCCTAAAAGTTCAAAACTGATGAGTGTAAAGCTTATTAAATGCATGCGAGAGATAAATTAATACCTGATTCGAGTATGCGGACCGAGATCGTTGATCCTTGAAGCGATTCGTTGCTTGCAAAATGTCGATAGATAATTCTATCCTGGAAATGGGTTTCGTAATTGGCAGGAAACTCAATGAGCAAGCTAATCTGTCCTAATTTCATTTGTTTAATGCCATCTTCGTATGAGTTGGTGGGAATCTATTTAAATATTTAAGTAATCGTACATAAGTCATGAGAAATGTATTCGATCCTTACTGAATTTCGGTAACGTACCCAAATGAATTTATCGCCGAATTTATCAATTAAGTTGCAAATTCCGATGTTGGAAAAGCATTCGTGCGAAGAATTCAAATTCCCGTCATTTCCACAGAGTTGAAGGGATGTCGCATTATTGTAAATGAGACTGGCTTGAATTCCATTGGGTTCTCGGCCTATTATATTTTGCATGAAGAAAACGCACAAGACAGGAATTCCAAGTTGTCCAAGATATAATCTGCCCAGTTTTCGAGCAAAACAAAGTAGTGAAAATTCATGTATTTTATGCAGAACTTAGAAAATGAATCATATTAGATACAGACCTCCAATCGCGTCTATTTCGGTGCCACCACTTTGAAAATAAAGCGTGGAAAATGGACGCATTGTTACGTCTAATATTCAAAGGAGTGATTTTGTCCGGGAGATGTTCCGTTTGTGCTAAATTCTCAGAAAGTCGCTGATTATTCGCCAACTCAAACGTCGTGTCGTAACGATTGGACATATTTTCGTCAGTTCTACAAAGATGTGTGAAGACGTCGGCTAATTTAGTGGATTGATGTGAAGCCAGCAATGAAGTCGGAGAGTCCTCCACTATAAGACGACCACCTCGAAGAAATCCTATCTGTAATTCATAAGTTATGAATGATAACTGATTATGCAGTGTTTGATTTGTTGTATATACCTACACTTCTTTTTATGCTACATATTTAGGAAATTGGAAAATTAAGGCGCAACAAATGCAATAAATATGTGCTACCTGGCGATTCCACCCTTTGTATAACGAGTAATTACTTAAAGGGATTGTATGCCAAGTGGTACCATTACTTATTCGTTTCTTGCACTGGTACAAGAATTTATGCCCGCAAATGGGTAATTTCTTGCAGTAATTTCGTGCATGTGGGATATTCTATGGTTAACCTGCTTTTTTAAGCTTACTTTGTCACAAAATTTAGTTTCTTCGATATAATGGGTTGAAATTATCACGGTTTTTCCTTGTTTTCGAGAAATTTCCGTTAGGAACTCCCAAATCCTACGAAATTCAGAGGTATATATTTATTTATGTATAAACTCCATACATACATACATATTTACAGATGAATTCATTACTTCCTATTGAATTGTAAATTAGTACCTCTGGCGCAGCAATGGATCCAATCCAACGCAGGGCTCGTCTAAAACGAGTAGGGCTGGATTATGAATCATTGCAGCGGCCAAGGACACCCTCCGTTTCTGGCCACCGCTGTATGCAAATTTGAATTTCATACTTACATATTTTTGCAGCATAAGCTAAGGCTAATCAAGTATATGCACATGTTCGAACCTCAACTTATCAATTACTACGTCCAGTTGATTCAGATCAAGCATATCTGACAGGAAATGTGTCCTGTGCTCTATTTCTTGCATGTCCATGCCATAAAGGAGTCCAAAATACTTTAAAACCTCTCGGATCGTCAGCACACTTAAAAGTGAAGTCTCCTAATGTTCATACATAGATACGTATTTATAATTTTATGTCAACAGTTCGCGTGAAATTTATGCATGATTAAAATATGGTGGACATCGAACTTGGGGCATATATCCGCAAAAACTGCCAAGATTGCCGGGTCTGGGTTGATTGCCCACGTTAACTTGACCAGAATCAAGCTGGCGTAATCCCACGATGCATGAGAGCAATGTCGTCTTGCTAGATACATATCGTGAGAAAAGGTGCAATTTTTAGTCTATGTACAGATGTATATACCGACAACATTAATTACTCGGCATACTCGATGGCCGCAGAAGCTGTGGGACATTTGGAGACATTAACATTGTAGGACAGGGGTTTATAACATGGGCAGATGATGGGGACATCAAATCAGAGGTCAACGCCGACCGACTTTGCAGCTGCAGCGCCAATTTTTTTGGCAGCGTCGGCGGCGCCCAAATGTTGTAGGAATAGTAAATCAGATTTATCGGCGGTAGTGGCCGTAAAATGCTAACGGCGTCTGGCGTACGATCGGCGGCGTTGACCTCTGCATCACATAAGCATGATGACATTGTCCCTCTGTCCCCTCGCTTTCGAGGCCACTGGACAAACCGACACACTTACCCGCACCCGCTAGCACCTAATAGACCATAGCTAAAATTCCAAATAAATTCATAGGATTAAAATATCCAAATGGTAAGAGTACTTAAATTTTGCTCACATTTCTCCACTGCAAACGTTGACATTTACATTGCTAAGAACCAAATTCCCTTTTCCGAATCGTTTAAATCCGTTTTTGATTGAGACGGACATTATTAACTTGGGTGAAGTAGATTAGCAAGCTTTGTATATTTCCAGCCTGTAGAATTATGCACAACCCTACCAGACAGTTTGAAGTTATGAAATGTGCAATATCTTCTTGGGAGGTAGATCTTGGCCAGAGTTAGAAAGAAAAGTCGTATTTTTACAAGGTTGTAGGCCTAACTAAAGACATTTATGCAACAGATACGTATGTATCTATTCAAGGTATATTTAGTTATGATGAGAAATATGTAATCTCCATGATACATAAAGATTAGAAATAATACATAAGTATGCCCCAACCATATCAATTTCTGGAGATTAATTTAAGTACTTTGGTATGTACATGCAAATATTTGTATTGCAATTGTGCTCAAATACCCGATTTTTTTTACTCGGAACTATGTAATCAAATTAATTACTTACTTTGGCTATTAAATGAATCAACATTCCGCTGACCCTAGCACGCCGTGTGATAACTCGCATAAGAAGAAGATACATAATTGCCCCCTCAATTCTCCCACGCTCTGTTTACCACACGAAAGCTCATGTCGTGCGGAAACAGAATGGTGTACCAGCAAAATTGATATATACGCATTTATGGAAAATGTATCAAATTACGAGGAAATAAATACATACTTAATTGTTTAATAGCCTAGGACATAAAATATTTATATGTATGTATCAACATGCATATTTATGTATTTTCTGATGTCCCAGTTGTATCTCTTTGGCTTTTTAACTTGAAGAGATGGGAGACATTTTATGGATATAACCTTGGAATTGCTAACGAAGTCCTTATGAAACGTATACAACAAAGTATCCGTGGCGAATTTTGATTTTCTCAGTTGCGTAACGCTGCTTGTGATTTTCTCAGCAACATTGGCAACAGGACAGGTTGCAAACATTCCCAAACTAGATTTGATAGAGATAAGCACTGGAAACAGTTTACGGCTTGAAGGGCGAGTTTCTAATGTTCCCCTGGATCCGAAGGGTGTAGAATTTGGGTCTAGGGTAGCTCGTCGAAAACATGGTCGTCGAAAGAGTAACTCGTCGAAGACGAGTCGTCTGAAGGGTAACTCGTCGTTTGGGCAAGTGGTCGAAAATAATACTTGTCGAGAGTATTTTTTTTAATCGAATACGATTCTAAATATAAATTATAATTTTATAAAATAACATTTACATGAGAACTCTCGGCAAGAATGCCAAACCGCCTGTTCCAGGCCTCCACTGCATTATTGAGTCTGGAAAAATTATCTAATACACGTTGGTCGACGAGTATTGGGAACATGAATGGATCGTACACTATACCTATGTAGGATTTTTGAACATAACTAAAAAATTTATCCAGTTCGAGTTTAGTTTGACCTTTAAAATTTAACGATACTTTCAATTCTCGGAATGCCACTCTAAATCATCGAGCTGAACAAATGCGAGACCGAATATTTTTTTAATTAATACACCTAGTAACGTTAGAAATAGCTCACCCTGTCATAATGATTGAGACAGAAGTTTGCACCGAAGGTGCGAAATAAGCCGACGAAATAGATCATAACTCTTATATGTTCTTGCAACAATGGTGCAACATACCCGGCAGGCCTTAGCACCATTAGTGCAGCGCATCCGCGATACATAATTTTGAAAACTTTGAAAACCGTAGTAACGTTAGAAGTAGCTCACCCTGTAATAATGATTTGGTTCTAACTTGCCCCAATGGTGCAAAAAAATCCAACAAAGTAGATCAATAATTTTTATGCAATATTGCACCAAGGGTACAGATAAATTAAGCAATAATTATTATGCATCGAGGACGGTCCAAAAATTGTGCATCACTGGTGCAGAATTACCTACCAACGAACAAGGATAATTTTGAAAAATTTATGTCAAAATTGTCTAATACCATCCGCCGACTAGTATGCATTATTGGTGCGCTATGCATCAAGTCTCCCAATTCTTTCGCATCAATTGGTGTTTCCAATTGTCAGATACCAACGACGCTATTAATTTATGAAAAAGTTGACCAGGGACACATTAATTAGCATCAATTGATGCAAAAAGGTCGTTAACATACAGACGGACGGACAGGAGGAATTAAATAGCTCTCGTGCTACGCAGGGTGAGCTAATAATACCATTTGTAACGTCTTGGTCGTACTGGTTCTTTAAATTGGGTGTCAAATGTCTAAACAACATTTGAGAATAGTTAAAATGGCACCCGTGAAGTACGGCATCTGGAAACGTGTCGTGTACAGCTTTTATCTCAGCTTGTTCAAAATCCATCAGAACAGCTTATCTTCTCTTTGCTGCGTTACATTAGTTCGTAACAGTAATTTGACATTTTAAATGTAAAATATAAGGGTAAAAAGAACAAAACAATCCTCCCAATTACTGCTGTGTAGTATTTTAAGTATTTTGGAATGTCCGCAGCGTATATCCGTCCCACGATGCACATGTAAAAATGTTACATGAAATTCGACGAGTTTCATGCTACCTAAATTCGACGACTTGCCTTTCGGACGAGTTTTTCATTCGACAAGTTGATTTCGACGACTTACCTTTTCGACGACATAGGATTCGACAAGTAACCCGTATCCCGTAGAATTTACCAATTTTTTCACAAATAATCCGGGCACGATTGCTGCTTGTGGGACTGGAATGTAAGAAGACGAATAGGGAGCGTACTCACGTCAACCTTCATGTATCTCGCGAATTAAGCGGATACATATTTAGTTAATGAAGGTTTGCGAGATATCGCAATAGCTTTTCTGGAAAACTATGTGATTTTTTTTCGCAGATTTACCTATGTTGAAAATCGACATGTTTTAAATTCGTAAAATTATTTATTTCGCAAATTCATCCACCATCTCCAGTAAGAGAAATGAAAGAAATGGAAACGACGTCAAAATACTTAGGTTTTTTAGTACATTTGTGAAGTTTTATTTTGCAAATCTCTTCACGACACAAATTTTTTGATTGCCAAATGAGTTGAGACGCGAAATAACACGTTGTCGCGAGTATATAACCTCGATTGGAGGATAATTCCTCCCGCTCAGCCACTCCCCCTCGTCTCCTCCCGCTAAACCACTCCCTTCTATCTCCTCCCGTATACATTTTCCTCCCCGTACCATCTCCTCCCTTCAGTATTATATTTTGCATGGAAATGGACGAACATAATATATGTATCAAAGAATCATAGAATTTAAGAAGCGGTAAAATTACTCCGTCTTCACTCCAACCGCTGACAACACTGCTGGATTGCTCTTGATAATAAATAAAAATTTAATATTATTTAACCCACTCTTCAATTGTTGCGTTATAATTAATTGTTGTGCTAAGTACCTAGGTCGAAGGTACATGTAGATTGCATTTTATATTTTAATTTTATGCCCATTTATGTATGTACATTATGACAGTTCGATTTCTGGAAATACAGTAAGCAGTGCTTACTGTAAATATACATCGGTGCTTACTAAGCACCGATGTATCAACAAATTATTTATTAATGCTGAGTAGACGGATATTTGGCTGCGTTTATACCTGTTTAAAATTTACCTACTGTAAATTATTGAAGCTGCTTACATAAGCAACTTATTAACAATAAGTTATTATTAACATATATCTCTATATGTGTACTTATGTACCGTTAGGCATGAAATCACCAAAGAGTTATTCCTTCAATCGTTACACGTTTCACCAAATTTGTTCAAATTTAGTTTAATTTAGAATTAATGCATCAGCAACAATCTTACTGTTGACTTTGTACAAAAAGACGCCATAGCCAATGGTGTCTTCATCTCCATAAAGTTACTCTTGAACCGTATCTTCAGTGGAGCACAAGACTTCACCATTTTCCTCGAAACCTTAAAACTTTCCCTTCTCAGAAACTTTCTTCCCTGCAATTGCAATTCTGACACTTTCCCCAACTTGGAAATACATTGCTTTGATTTCTTATTGATAAATCCAGCCATCGATCCCAGCATGACGACCGAAGTTGTTCCGGCCACCGAGTAAAATGGAAATATTGCGTTGCCCACATGCTCTAATAATTTATGGTGCAAATCGATGGTCAAATATGTGCCCCAAATGCTGGCCGTCATGGAGAGTAGGAGTACAAATGGTAGTGTTGTTCCTCTGTAGCAAAGGTTAATTTGTGATGTCAATACTTGCAGGTGTCGATATTGGTGGATGGCTGCAAAAATTTGTTCCGTACATTGTGGCGTTTTCCTACATGTTACATATAAAATCAAGGTTGAGCTAACAATCGATCAAAATTTAATTGATATGAAATTTGCTGAAAGGCACTATCTTCCAATATTCACTTTTGGCGGAGAATATTTCATCCAAAGAGGAGAAACGAGCCCCAGAGTTGATTACACTATCAAAATTTACTGTGTGTTTTCTCCTCTTCGGATGCAATATCCTTGCCAAACCTGAGCATTGGCAGATATATACATCTGTAGTTATTTTTGCAAATTTCATATTAATTAAATTTGTGATAGACTAAGACTAATTTGGTTGAAATCTGTGAGCATACTCAATTGAAAGGAGTTGTTACGTATGTATGTATGTATGTATTATTTAATATTCAGCATACCGTTTCCAGATTAATATATTTCCAGCAAGACAAACTAGCATCCCGACAAATATTTGGAACAGGACAAAACAAAACATAAAACTGACTGCGAAAAAGGTCCATCCTTGAAGTAAGAGTAGGACAACATGCACAAAATTCACAGTGGATGTGGCTTCCTTCCAAATTGGAAACCAGGACCCCAAAAAAGGTTGAAGTTGTGGTTCATAAAATGTGATAGCGATTGTGATGGTGCAACGATGGCAATTAGTCGATAAGTGGTCGAGCAAAATTTGAATGTCAGCCGATAATTTAGTCCGTGCAGAAGACAAACCTGCAACAAGTTAATAAACATGAAAACGAAAATGCTTACTATTAAGTATTTATGTCAAACTGGAAACAATGAGTGTACTCATGTCAATGTTCGTATATCTATCAAATTGAGCATAGCAACATCCTTAGTTTTGCGAAATTTACGGCATTTCGCAAACCTTAGCTTGAAACCATGGGATTTTTTAGAAAATTTCCCCAGCAATTGGGCATGCTTTTATTTCGCAAACTCATCTTAACCATCACCATCACCAGCGAAAGAAATTTCATAGGTGTTTTCAGAAGTAAACTTGAGAGATTTGCGAAGCCATACGATGATGTTCGTAAGTCTTCTAAATGAGTTGCAATCAGAAGACGTTGCTATAAGTAAATATGTTCAATTTGATTACCAATCTTACCTAAAATATGTAATTTTGAATC